CTGATCCTGGGGGTGCTGAGCCTGGGGGTGCTGGGTTTGGGGGTACTGAGCCTGGCGTTGCTGAGTCTAGGGGTACTGCGCCTGGAGTTACTGAGCCTGGGGGTGCTGAGCCTGGTGGTGTTGCAGTTGACTGTGAGGCGCCTGGAGGACCTCCCTCTTCGCAGCAGCTGCGTGAGTGGTACTCACGGTACTGCAGCCTCCGGCGGGGTGAGTCTCGGGCTCGTGGTACTGCTGGAGTTGGTACTCGTGCTTCCCCACCACGGCGGGAGCCGCCCTCTTCCCCTCAGCTTCGAGAGTGGTACGCTCGGCACATCAGTCTCCGTAGTGGAGCTGCTGGTGCTGGGGTCCCCGGAGTTGACGCTGCTGCGAGTACTACGGACCCTGGTGCTGGAGGTGCTGCTGCTGCTGGCGGTGCTGCTGGAGGTGCTGCTGCTGCTGGCGGTGCTGCTGGAGGTGCTGCTAGTACTGAGGACCCGTGCGTTGGAGCTGCTGTGGGTGCTACGGACCCTGGTGCTGGAGGTGCAGCTGCTACTGGCGGTGCAGCTGCTACTGGCGGTGCTGCTGGAAGTACTGCTGCTGCTGGCGGTGCTGCTGGAGGTGCTGCTGGAGGTACTGCAGACCCTGGTGCTGGAGGTGCTGCTGCTTCTGGAGGTGCTGCTGCTGCCGCTGGTGTCTCTGCTGGTTCGAGAGCTGCTGCACGGCCACGACCGTACTTCGTTCCGCTCCTTCAGCAGGTTCTTGGTCAGCCTCCTCCTCCTTGTTCTCCTCTCGCCTTAGAGTGTCCGCCGTCTGTCCAGTCACAGCCACAGTTACCGCCTGCCTCACCACTCCCTGTGCCTGCTCCTTACACTGGTCCGACTGACGGTCTTGCTGAGAGACGTGAGCCTGCGTCACGTCCTGTGTCACCTGCGTCTCGTCGAGCGTCGCCTGTTCGAGCTGCTACCACTGGTAGTCGTGTCCCGCGTGAGCGTCCTCCTGCTGTCCCAGGCACGCACCGGATGGCGCTTCGTCAGTCCACTGCTCCGCAGCGTGTTGCTCTCCCGTCGCCTCCTGCGTCCTCTCTTCCTGCTCTTGCTGACCCGGAGTCAGACTCCCTTCGCGCTGCCAGTCCTACTGTCACACGTCTCTTGGCTACGGTTGTCACTGACCCTTCCTTTGAGTCCGCTGCTGCGTCTGCCCTAGTCACTGAGCTTGTCGACTTTGCAGCGGCGTGTCGTCTAGACTACGCAGCGAGTCTTGTTGCTGAGTCTGAGTCTGCCTGTCCTCCGTCCGTCGGGGGTGAGTGTGCTCTTGGCACGGACGTCCTTGAGGACAGGCAGGAGGAGTTTGGTTGCCTTGCCGCTGCTTTGCCCCATTTCGTGTCCATGCTTGTTGCCCCTGAGGGAGACCCGGATGCACCAGACATCCCGACCCCACGCTCTTACGCAGAGGCGATGGCCGGTCCCTACTCCTCTCAGTGGCAGTCAGCCATGGACACAGAGATGGCTTCCTGGAAGTCCACAGGCACCTACGTCGACGACGTTCCCCCACCTGGGGCGAACATCGTCAGTGGCATGTGGATTTTCAGGGTGAAGCGGCCGCCAGGCTCTCCGCCTGTCTTCAAGGCGCGTTACGTTGCACGAGGCTTCAGTCAGCGAGAGGGAGTTGACTTCTTCCAGACCTTCTCCCCGACCCCGAAGATGACCACTCTTCGGGTTCTGCTACACGTCGCCGCTCAGCGTGACTACGAGCTCCACTCTCTTGACTTCAGCACAGCTTTCTTGCAGGGCAGCCTGCACGAGGAGATCTGGCTGCGCCGCCCACCTGGCTTCACTGGGTCGTTCCCTCCTGGCACCCAGTGGAGCCTCCGGCGGCCAGTCTACGGTCTCCGCCAGGCGCCGCGTGAGTGGCACGACACACTGAGGACTACACTTGCGGCTCTTGGGTTTGCTCCTTCTACTGCTGACCCGTCGCTGTTTCTGCGCACCGACACCTCGCTGCCGCCGTTCTACATCCTCGTGTACGTCGACGACTTGGTCTTTGCCACTGCGGACACTGCCGCACTCGCCCACGTGAAGTCCGAGCTGCAGAAGAGACACACGTGCACAGACCTGGGTGAACTGACAAGCTATCTTGGCTTGCGGATCACCCGGGACAGAGCACGCCGCACCATTACCCTGACTCAGTCACACATGGTGCAGCAGGTCCTTCAGCGCTTCCGCTTCACGTACTCCTCGCCTCAGTCCACTCCTCTGCCTACGGGTCACTCGCTCTCAGCTCTGCCTTCGGATGAGTCCGTAGAGTCGAGTGGTCCGTATCCAGAGCTTGTGGGCTGCCTCATGTACCTGATGACCTGCACTCGACCTGACCTAGCATACCCTCTCAGCATCTTAGCACGCTATGTTGCTCCCGGCCGTCACCGGAAGGAGCACATGGATGCAGCTAAGAGGGTGTTGCGCTACTTGTGCAGTACGTCGGGCATGGGGCTAGTGCTTGGAGGGCGAGACCGGCCTGTTCTCACTGGGCACTCAGACGCTTCTTGGGCAGACGACCAGGCTACTCAGCGGTCGTCTCAGGGTTACACCTTCAGTCTTGGCTCTGGCTCTGTCTCTTGGCGTTCTACTCGTTCTTCTTCTGTTCTCAGCTCCAGCTGTGAGGCTGAGATCTACGCCACGGCCATGGCTGCCCAGGAGCTTCGCTGGCTCACCTACCTGCTGACTGACCTTGGAGAGCAGCCTCGTTCTCCTCCAGTGCTGTACGTCGACAACAAGGCAACCATTGCCTTGTGCCAGGAGCACAGACTGGAGCACAGGACGAAGCACATTGCTCTGCGTTACTTTCTAGCTCGAGAGCTACAGCAGCGTGGTCAGCTTCTTCTGCGTTACGTGGCCACTGAGGCCAACACTGCTGATGTGTTCACCAAGGCGCTTCCGCCTGTTGACCATCAGCGCTTTTGCACTCTTCTAGGCCTTGTGCCGACTGTTTCTCACTTACTTACTTCTTGACTTTACCTGTACTGTGATCATTATATATATACCTGCATGTTTGCCTTGTTAGGTTGTGATCATTGTACCTCTTGCTGTATTATAAAACTGCATGTGAACTGGTCTTGTGACCGCTTGCTTGTGCTCGGAATTTGTGTGGAATCCTCGAGATCCACCCTGAGCTTGTTTACCTTGTTTTGCCTTGACTGGTCTTGTGACCCCTAGGTCTCCCCCACTTTGCCTATGGGGGTGTGTCAAACATTTATATGTTTGTGTGGTTCTAGGCTGTAGTGGGTTACACCATAAGGGGTATACCAGATTAGGGTTTGACATATTTGTACTGTTGTTCCTGCTAGTCACTCCTCATTCTCGTTTCTCATTCTGACAACGCAACCAGACCTCCTCGTGTAGGCTACCCTCAAGGAAGGCAGTGGAGAAGTTGAGAGAGTGTAGCTCGTAGTCTCTCTATGCAGCTACGTGCAGTAACACCCGAAGAGTGGTCGTCTTTGGGATAGGCGCGAAGGTCTGAAAGAAGTCAACTTCTCGCGCTGACTGGAACCTCCCGCCACATAGCGCGTCTTGAAGACTGGAGGAGATCCCGGTGGCCGTTAATTATGAAGATCCACATGCCATCGACTACGTTTGCCCCAGGGGGGGGAACCTCGTCCACGTAAGCGCCTGTGGATGTGTAGAAGGCCATTTCTGAGTCCATGGTAGCTCTCCACAGAGAGGCCCAAGGCCCTAACACTGCCTCAGCGTAAGTGCGAGGAGTCTGTATGTCAAGGGCGTCGGGGTCTTCCTCAGGAGCGAGCAGCATGTCACAGAGATGAGGGGAAGCGGCTGCCAGGAACTCTAGCTCAAACTGCCTGTCCTCTAGGGCGTCACAGCCAAGGGCAGACTCACCCCCGACGGCCAGAGGACTAGTGGGAAGAGCAGCCACAAGACTGGTGGCGTAGTCAAGGCGGCGAGTAGAGGCAAACTCAGTGACTGCGGCAGTAAGAGCGGAGACAGAGGACAGAGAGGGACGTGGGTCGGTAACAAGAGAGGCGAGAACACGAGACAGACAGGACGGTACGTGCGGTAGTAGTCAATGTCAGGAGTAGAGAGGGAAGTAGTGAAAGCCAACTCGGGAAGAGAAGAAAGTACAAAAGGAGACGAGCGAGGCGGACTAGAACAAAGCAGGGTAGTAGGAGGGTTAGAGAAGGGAAAAGGGGACGATGGACGAGCACGAGGAGAGCGGCGAGAAGGCCAAGCGTGAGAAAGAGGAGGGGACAACAGAGGCGGAGAAGGAGTGAAAACAGCTGGGGAGGGGTCAGGAGGAGGAAACATGGGAACGTAGACAGGAGGAGAGGGAGAGGAGGGAGGAGAGGGAGAGGGGAGACCGAGGGCCCGAAGGCCAGAAACAGGAGGCGGAGGTGGTGGCTGCTGCTGTTGCTGCGGCGGCTGCTGCAGCTGCTGCTGCTGCGGTGGCTGCTGCTGCTGCTCCTGCTGCGGCGGCTGCTGCTGCTGCTCTTGCTGCGGCTCCTTCTACTACGGCTGCTCCTCCAGCTACGGCTCCTGCTGCTGCGGCTGTCGCTGCGGCTGCTGCTCCTGCTCTGACTGCAACCTCTGCTCCTGCTGCTGCTCCTCTAGCCGCTGTAGCTCCAGCTGGTGCCGCTCCAACTCTCCCTCCTCTCGCTCCAACTCCAACTGCTCCTCACGAGCACGAACACGGGCCTGGTGCCGGGTCGGGTAGGGGTGGAGGGGAGAAGTAGTGTCCGGGGCGGTGGTAGCCCCACGCCCACTCTCCAAAGCACCAGTTGCACCACCCGCAGAGCCAGCACCACCAGCAGCAACACGACCAGTCCCAGACTCTCCAGGTCCCGCAGTGAATGCACCCGCACCCCTAGTCGTAGCACCCCCAGGGACAGCTCGACCAACACCAGCTCCCCGAACACGAGAACCTCCTGCAGACACGGGCTCAGCTCCAACTCCAACACCTCCAGAGAACCCATGGTCCTCGACACGAGCACCTGCTCCCACTGGGTCTGTAGTAGGCTAGGATGAGGACTGTGGGGAAGGGGACGGTACCTGAGGGGCGACCGAGGGCGGGGGGGGGTAGCGTGTGACACACCTGGCGGGCCTGGACCAGGGGGGGGGGGGGGGGGCTGTACCGGAGGGGCAGGAGGGGGGGCGGGAGTCACGAAGAGAGGGGGAGGAGGAACCAAAAGACCTCTACAAGGGTACCGGGTGAAGTAGGGGACGGACTCGACAAAATGAACGTCGCGGGAGTCAAAGAACCTGTGAAGGGGAGGGTGGTAAAAGGTGAAGCCAGAGGAGTCCTCGGGGAAACCAAGGAAGACACAGGGAAGGGCGCGAGGGGAGAGCTTATCCACGGAGGCATCGCGAACAAGCGCCAAGCAGCCCCACACACGAAAACGAGATGCAGCACTAGGGGACCCGGTCCAAAGACTGGTCGGTGAAGCCTCTGGCCGAGAGACACGTGGCCGGAGGTTCAGCTAGTGAGCGACGTACTGAACCGCATAGGGCCACAGAAAATGGGGCGCACGGGCGTGAATCATGGAGGTGCGTGCAATCTCCATGACCAGGCCTATGCGGTGCTCAGCAACCCCATTCTGCTGTGGGGACTCTGGAAGCGTCGAGGACTGATGGATGCCTTGCTCGTGACAGAATCCAGCGAGAATGCCGGAGAAAAACTCACCCCCATGGTTGGAGTGAAGACAGCTGACACGACGACCACGAGTGTCCGTAGTGGTAAGTAACCACCGGATCAGCGTAGAAGTCACCTCAGACTTCTTCTCCAAGAGGAACACTATGGTGTAGCGAGAGTAGTCGTCAACGACCACCAGAAAGAAACTCTCTCGCTCAGGGCCAGGGCGAGGAGCGAGGCCCCAGATGTCCAAGTGGAGAGTCTCAATGGGCTCGGTGGCCAGACGAAGGGAGGAGGAGTGAGGGGTGGCGCGCAGCCGACCCTCGACGCAGGGACCGCAAGGTGGTGCAAGTGAAAGCGGCATCGACGGCAAGACTCGCAGGAGGCCTAAGACAAGACGCTGACTAGACATAGCGCGCAGGCGAGGAATGGACGGGTGCCCCATCCGGTGGTGCCACAGAACGCTAGGGTGGGCAAGTGACCGGCAGAAGCAAGACGCAGCAACTGGACCAGACACGTGAACCTGACCAGATACAACTACCTGGTGAGAAGCGGCAACCTGGTGAGAGGGGGGGACGTGACGGGGGGCAGTGACAGTGGTCGGGGGCAGTAGCTGCTGCTGCTTCTGCTGCCGAGGCCCAGTGTGAATTTTGTAGAGACCTGAGCCTGACTCAGCGGTAAAGGTGGCCAGAGGCGCGTACGTGTCCCCGTCGACACAAACCGCAGTCTCGCCAGAAGGCTCAATCCACACACCCACATGCTGACTCACGAGTGGCCTCACGCCCACCAAGTTCCTCGAGAACGAGGGGACTTTGAAGCCGGTCAGAGAACCAGAGGGAACATCCGGGCACGGAAGCGTTGTAGTATAGCAAGCAATGACTGGTCCCAAAGTGGGATCAGCCAATGCCACAGATGCGGAGATAACTACTACAATGGGAGCTAGACTGCGGGCTAGGCACGGATGCTCGTGTGATCTCTGCGTTCTCTGTTCCTTAGTCATTTTCTTAGTGCACACACTGCTTGCTAGGTCACGGGGCAATTTGGCATGAGTTTTTCTCTAGAGAAAGTTGAAAACAATGGTACAATGAAGTTGGCATGACAAGACTACATCAGAGCTAGCCATCAGGTCGATCGACTGCCAGCGCAGCATGGTCGACCACGTTCCAGCACGACTTGGTCGACCGCGCTCCAGCGGTGCAAATTCGACGGCGTGCCAACACTGCAGGTTGTCGGCATGCCAGCGTTGCTCCCGCAAAACAGCAGCGCGCCTACTTCGCAGGTGCTCGCAGGTGATTGGCAGGCTAAGCCTCGTCACCTGCACAACGCACACACCGTGTCATCCTCGTGCTGATGACTCCACCTGATCCGCCACGTCAACCTTGGGATACCACCCCCGAGGTCAGCCTCGCCAACATCGCCTGGGAGACCGTCGCACTCTTCCGCAGAGCCTCGTCACCCAGGTAACCTGGTCGACCGGGCAATCACGTCGACCAGCTACTCCTGTATGTGCCCGTCGACCTCCCAAGTCGACGACCACTCCAGGTCGGCCTCACCAGGTCAACCACACCCTTGGTCGACCAGCTCCAGGTCGACGTCACTCCTGGTCGACCAGCTCCATGTCAACCAGCGCAATTGTCAGCCGACCACCCAAGTCGGCTACCCGAAGTCGGCGTCACCAAGTCGGCGCCGACTTCTAGGCCGACCTCTTGAAGTCGGCGACCTCCCAAGTCGGCGACTTCGCAAGTCGGCGACCTTGCAAGTCGGCGACCTCGCAAGTCGGCGACCTCGCAAGTCGGCGACCTTGCAAGTCGGCGACCTCGCAAGTCGGCGATCTTGCAAGTCGGCGCCGACTTCCAGGTCGACGCGCCACATCGCTGACCACCAGTTGAAGTCGGCCGCCGGCTTCCCAAGTCGGCGGCATTGCAGTGGCCCCGTGCAAGTCGACCAAACCCGTCGACCAGCTCGCCCAAGTCGGCGTCGCCCACTGCCGCAAGTCGGTTGCACCTCCCGTACACCCAATCACGAAGTCGGCTCCGCCCAAGCGAGGACGAGGCCAAAAACAACTCCCATTGACAACAGATATCGGCGCAGGAAGCGGAGTAAGCATCGTATGGTCGCGGAAGAAACAGCGCGAAGCTCCGGAGTCCAGAGTGAAAGACAGCGAAGTGTCCTCCGGAGCAGCTCCTGGACTAGTATCTACACAAGTATCTGCGCTAGCCACAGGCACCTCAGCAACACTAGCACCTAAGCTGACAACACTCAAGTAAACAGAGTCAGAAGCACTAAAATGAACAATAACATACATAGCATGAGGAGTTCCTAAGAGATCAAGCAACTGAGAAGTCGACATGCCCCACAGAGCGGGGCCGTACGTCTGAACAAGGGGAAGCTAGTCAGGGGCAGGGCCGTCAACGCCGTAGGCCGCACAAAGTGTGTGAGTGAGCTGAGCAAAGCACTGACCCAGTGCGTGGGTGCGGCCACAGGGGAGGCCTCGGCGAGAACCTGTCTGAACGAGGTAGGTGCAGGGAGGGTGGACGGCGCCACGCAACAGTTGACGCGGTCCTGATCCATGCCCCGGATCCTACTGCTGCAGCTGTGGCTGCTGCGAGAGGAGGGGCTGCTGCTGCTGCTGCTGCCGCTGCGCCAGGTACCAAGCCGCCACTCCAACACCTGTAGCTGGCGGACCAGCAGGTGCCTGACAAACCCGAGCGTCACCTCCACCAGCTGCAGTAGAGGAGCCACTAGCCACTGCACGAGGCGCTCCTCCAGCCTCTATACTACCGCTACCGCCGCTCGCCACGCCACCTCCGCTGCCTCCGCCGCCTTCGCCCGCACCCTGACCGCCCCTCCTGCCACTCCTACCCCTAGACCGCGAAGAAGTCGTAACAGCAGCTACGGTCACGTCAGTAGCGGCAGTGGCGAGGGAGGCAGTAAAGGTGGGCAGCTGAGGGACAGTGCACCCGCGAAACAGTGGAGGGGGCACAGCACCAAAGGCGGAGGCTACTGAGCGGAGGTTGCTCTCGACGTCCTTGAGGGCAGACTCAAGGACCTTGATAGTGAGCTCGCTAGGGTGCTTCAGAAGAAGCGCATCACGAACCGAGGCGAGGCGGTTAGGGAGACTAGTGGCGATGAAATAGATCGTAATCGCCATAGGGGGAGGGAGCAGTGCAAGCTGCCCGTGAGTGCAAGCAGCGCGTTAGCTAGAATCAAGCGAGCGCAGGTGAGCGATCAAGTCAGCAGAGCGCTCAAACGAGGCGAGGTCAGGAAACAGGAATGGGAGGAAAAGTCGACCAAGAGAGACAGTGGTGGGAGTAGCGTAGCAGGCCTTGATCGCAGTCAGGAACTCACTAGCAGTGGGAACCTGAGTGAAATGGGCCTCCTCAGACTCAGGGAGGAGGCTGCTAAGGGCGATGCAGGCCGCAGCGTCACACGACTTCCACGCTGTCAAGTCTGCACGCTGGCATGCATAACGGTCTCTGTCTGCGATGCTAGTGTCAGTGTCTAAAGGTGCAGGGGCGGGGGGCGCAGGAAGGTCACCGGAAGCGTGCTCCCACAAAGACTCGTCTGCCTGAACCTGACTCTCTAGGAGGCGGCGCACACACTGGAGCCAGACCGAGAACTCGAGTGGCCTACCCTCGGCGTCAAAGCGCCGGACCCTAGGGGTCGCCATAGCGGAAGCGAAGGGGTGGGAACTGCTGCTGCCGAAACCCTAAACGTGTAAAGGGCCTAAGGAGGGCGTGACAGGCAGTGAGTGGGCGTGGTGCGGCGTGGCGCTACGGGACTGGTCCGGCGTGGCGCTGCGGGACGGGCACGCACGGCGCACGCGACGGGACAGACGGGACGGACGTGACGAGCTAGACGGGACGGGACGAGCGTGACGCGGCGGGACGGGACGGGACGACGGGACGCGACGCGACGCGACGCGGCAGGACGGGACGGGACGGGACGACGGGATGGGACGACGGGACGGGACGGGACGCGACGCGACGGGACGGGCGCTATGGGCGCTTCGGGCGCTACGGGCGCTACGGGGCTGCGGGCGCTACGGGCGTCGGGGGCGATAGGCTAGGCGCAACGGGAGCTAGGGAACGAGACGAACCGGCGCGAGGGCGCTAGGGGACGATACGGGTGTAACGGGCGCTAGGGAACGAGACGAACCGGCGTGACAGGCGCCAGGGGACGATACAGGCGTAACGGGCGCTAGGGTACGAGACGAACCGGCGTGACAGGCACTAGGAGACGGTACGGGAGGAACGGGATCCCAGAGGCTCCTAACCTAGGTGATACCATGTCAAGAACGGAATGGTGATGTTCACTAAGGTTGGTTGGGGTACATAAACCTAACCCTAACTGTTGTACCCCATATGACACACATCACTAAGACTATAACATCTGACATCCTCTTACCTAATCCTTCATCCTTCTCACTAGATTCTAACAGAGGTGGGTACAAATGCAAACCCTAACAACCTATACTCTCTAATGCATGCATCAATACAACCCAAAACATAAAAGTTGAATATCCGGGGGTGTACCAGTATATCAGGTCTGTTGCTTTAGTTCCATACACTTCACAATCACAGCAGGTGAATGCTTCCTGTATGATTTTCAGAAATTGGCCAACATGGATACCCCATGTGCTGCATTGCATTTATTGAAGCCGCTAATTAATGATGAAACGGCTGTGTGCCAAGTAGCCACCCGTATTTCACATAGGCGATTTCCACTTCACCTGGAAGTCACAAAGACCTTTAGTCCGTTGGTCATGGAGAGAGTAAGCGACATGCTGTATTCAACCTTGTGGCCTGGCACAAGCGCAAGCCGGAAAAGACGAACTGTGCTGGCGACAATAGATTTCATCTGCGCATTCACACAGCACCATTGTTATGTTTCAGATCAGGCATGCTAAGGCTGATGAACCAGAAAATGCTGGACATAGATCAAGTATCAACAGCAGGGAATCAAGTAGTAACAGCAGGAAGAGGTTCAGTACCTGAAGATAGGCAAGGTCTCTCCCAAGGCAGAGGCGCGGCCCAGCATTGAAAGCCGGGAACTTGAAAGGCGATTCATTGATAAGTTCGCCATTGCTATCAAACCACCGCTCTGGCTTGAATTCTCTTGCATCAGGCCCCCAAATGCGAGTCATGCGACCCATTGCATAGAGCTCATACTGCACCCGCCAACCACTCTTGACGTGGGTCCCATCGGGAAGCACGTCATCCTTCACAACGTGCCTGCACATAATTGAAAAACAAGCAAGCTTGTGAGAAAAGCGTTTCATTAGAGAAGTCTGCTACAGCAACACCAGTGCAGTAGGGTTGAACTCACTTGAAATCCGCTGGGACAGATGGATAGAGCCGAAGTGACTCGGCAATTGCTGCATGCACATACTTCATCTGCTTCAGCTCTTCATAGGTAAATGCACCAAAGCTCTTGTCACCTGGAAAAGCAGCAGTCAACAAGTCACACCTCAGCCATGTGGGATTACAAGCAAGTGCAATCAGCAATCGTTCACCTCAAACACATTGCAGTAGATTACCCACGTTCACGTGCAGCAACAATTGATTGTACTTCCGCCAGGATCTTTTCTTCCACAGTAGGGTGCCATGTCAGCAGCCAGAAGAGCCAGGTCATGAGGACAGACGAAGTATCTCTTCCAGCAAGAATGAAATTCGTGCACACATCCCGAAGGAACCTTTCGGAGTACAGCTGACCGCCATCATCCTTCTCAAGAAGCATCATCCTGCAGACAGATCGAATATACACAAAAGAGTTGGTACACATCACAGAGACCCTTCAAGCTACAGCGTAAAAAGATGTATTCACCTGGAGAGAATATCTGAATGGTCAGTCACAGCACCATCAACTGCTTGCTGTTTCTTTTCGCTTGCCAACTCAGTGCGCCGATTTCTAATAACATCTTCTGCAAAAGAATCGATTTCCTGGAACCAAACAGCACACATGAACAGAATGTAAGGGGTGTTGAGCGAAAAACCCAGACCAAATTGAAGGAGGGATTTCGCGTTTGGACATACCTTCACAGCAGCGTGAAGCGTTCCCTCTTGGAATAAACGAAAGAACCTGAATGCCTTCCATACAAACTCAGGAATCAAGTTTCTGTAAAGTGTTGCCTGAAGAAATAATCAAACGCTAATGATTAGAAGATTGACAATTATGGCAACAAACAGTTGTAGATCAGTTAAAGGCATCTATACCTTTGTGGCCTCGTCGAATGCTCGTGCAAACGGGACTTCAGGAAGGCCCGGCTCAAGACAACCAGGGTCAACACCAAACCCAATCCTGCAGATGTTATCAAAGGTGTACCGCAGCAGAATATCTTGCAGGTCGACCGGCGTTCTCGTCATAGCGGCCTGCTTAACATCACCAAAGCCAGCATCGGAAGAAGTTATGCTCACTATGAATCAATCAAGGAATTTCTGTCCAGCCATTCCCTGGTACCCAAGAATTCCAGCGCCTTGTCTCACGCACCACTTCTAGGGTAGGGATGAAGCGTTGGAGGAGCTCTTCTTGGATGGACACCATCATGAGGTCTCGCAGTGACCTCTGGGAGAACTCGAGGCTGGCAGTCTTGCGCTGCTGCCTCCACACGTCATCGTCGCTATTGAATATGCCGTGCCCAAGAAGGTCTTCGAAGTTGGTCTGATGCATTTTGTTTATTTTGAAGTTTGTTTTTGCCTTTAGTCAGCAATGGCTTACAAAAGACTGCCATAAATTGCCTAAATGACCATTTTGTACATACCTGGAAGTTCGGACCCTTAGGATAGTTGGCGAAATTGGTCTTGAGAATGTGCTCGAGGTTCTTAGGGTTTGCAGTGACGACTTCGTTGAGGCCAGGTGCTAGCGAGATGTAGGTCATCGTGGGACTAGCCTGATCAGGATCAACATTCGCCCAGGTTATGATGATGGTCGCCTGAAGAGCAATGCCACGGCAGAAGCTGTTACGGAACAAGCTAGAGGATTTACCTCGAGATATTCTGTCGCCCAGTCGTAAAGATACGGAAACGCCAGTAACATTTCAGGCAGCGTGCCGAGGATTGGCCATGCGGGAGGACCATAGCCTATCTTCTGCCTGTACACTCCGAGCAGCCAGAAAATGGCGACGACGAGACACAGGATCGCGAGACTCGGAGCTAGGAGAACGAAGACGCTTAATGCGTTCACTCTCTCCTGATGAGTGAGGAGTGCGAGAAGAGCCATGCTGTGCGACGAAGTGCGAAGGAGTGCGACGCAGCAGGAACTACCCCTGAGTGATCCAAGTGCACTTTTTCAAAAATGCGAGAAGTACTTCTTCGTTTTTGTAATGAACGATGGTACAGTGGGAATAAGGGTCCCGCGGCGACGAATGATGCTGAACCGTACAGATCCTCGCTGACTCGGCGACAGACGCGACGACAGCACATTCTGACCGTGCGACAGATGGCATTCGCCGACATTTAACAGTTCCTGTCCGACTTGAAACACATCTCATGGTCTCTTAGCATCTTCTTGAGAATGACAATAGGCTCGCTCGAGGCATGTATGCGCTCAGCACAAGAAACACACGCTGAAACAACGCTCCCCGTTCCTTGATGTTGACGCGTGCTCACTGGAAGTCTGACGTTCAAGACGAGGTCCTAAGGACGCGGCACCTGTTTTCATTTTACAAGGATCGTGGCCTCACATCGATCCTGGCATATCGATCGGCAAACCGATGTGCCCACACTGCAAATTTGCAGTGGGGTAGACACATCGAGCTATAGGTGCCAGGGTCGAAATTGCAGGCTCGGGCAGGCTGGAGCTGCCATTACACTTAAACGCGCAGCCAATCAGGGCAGAGCGTGGATGGTCGTCCAGCAATTCCATTCGCAGCGACTCAAGAATTTTTGGCCTGCGACCGTGGGCGACGCCGATCGATCGAGGCTGTCACCTGTGGCGCGATATGCTCTCCCGCCAACCCTAACGCATGCACCACGGCACATCGATCGTGCGAGCTGCAGGTGCCAGGGTACCTTCTCGAAGTTCAGCGAAGAAAGGATACCAGGCATTGGCGATGTCGCCAATACACTGTACAAGCGGCACATCGATCCCCTCCCACGATCGATCCTGGCAAAATGAAAACAGGTGCCGCGTCCTAAGTATGACTGCTTCGGAACACAGCACCAGGGCTTCTAGCAAAACGCACATAGATGAATTTCTCATTCCCCTCGAAATCAACAATTCGCTGTACTCGTTATAGACGTCTCTTACAGTGGAATCCACACCTGCTCAAATGAAAATTATACGTTAGAGAAGGAAACTCGATTCAGTTTGGATGAGTTTACTATCAACTTCCATTCGTGTTGTCCCGTACATAGTGCGCTCGTGAGTTGAACTGTAAGTTGCAGTTTCCGAGGCGCCTCTGCTCGGATTCACAAAGATTCATCACTGATTCCGATAGCTCATCAACAGGATCATCGAATAACAATCATCTATACCGTCAGCATGATATCCCTCGCTCACTCGATATCAACGAGGCTTTCGTTCTTGCGAACAGTTTGCCACCCTCCCGACAGTATCACTCTCTTTAAAAGATCAGCGAAACGTGCCGTCGTTAACCGTGTAATATCACAGGCGAGCAACAGATCGAGGCAGCAGATTCATTCAGATCAAGGAAAACGGAAGTCGCTTTTATGTCTGCCGGGTGAGTATCTGAAACAGCAGCATTCACACCAAAGTAATAGCTCGCTCACAAACAATCGCGGACATCAGCACTGGCAGCAGCACCAGCTGTTCGTGCAGCCGCTACTGACGTTTCCTGCTGCACCCCCGTCACGGCTATGTACACTTCAAGTACGGGCAGCTTCACGGTTTGTTGTGGCTGCCACCGGGGGATTCGGGCAGCCCATAAAAAAGAAGCGAGACAAGGTGGTGTACGTGTGCGATCAGTGCGGAAACGAGAGCAAGCAGTGGTGGGGTGACTGTTCCGCCTGTGGCGCGCTTGGCAGCTTGAAAAGATTCACGGTGACCGACGATGAGCCAGGCTCCGGGGGTGGAGTCGGGGGGCCAGCAATCCGCGCATTTGAACGGTCTAGAGGGAACGCGGGTAGCCTGGGGGGCAGGGAAGATCCGAAGAGGCGAAGAGCAGACGGAGCGAGCAGGAATGGTAGCAGTGGTGGCAGTGGTAACAGTAGTAGCAGTGGTAGCAGTGGCACTGGTAGCAGTGGAGTGAGGAGAGCATATCCTCGAACAGACGCTGGTGGTGTTAGCGGCACTGGCGGTCACATCACTGGTGGTCGCAGCACTGGATCAATGCGGCCAGGTGCAGTGCATCAGCAGCCGGACGAGGAGGAGGACGGTGAGGAGGAGGAGGAGGATGGCGAGGAAGGGGAGGAACGGGAAGAGGGGGAGGGTAACAGTGAGCAGTACAGCAGGACGAGAAGGTCAAGAGGGAGTGGTTTTGGTGGCTGGGTGAATAACAACGGGAGAAGTGGCAGTGGTTATAGCAGCAGCAGTAGCAGCAGCAGCAGTGGTTACGGCAGCAGCAGCAGTCTGCTTCTGAGCAGCAGCAGGCCACGGGCGCGGCCGCTACAAGAGGTCATCGAATCAGCTGGCGACAGCTGGCACTTGTCACTGTAAGCAGCAAGTGCGTGCGTGCACGGATTGTGCTTTTGGGGCGCCTTAAAGGTGGTCAAATCAGCTGGCGACACCTGGCACTCGTTCCCTTCCCTTCGTTCCCTTCGGAACCCAAAAAGTGCATGTGGCTGGACATCAATCAGTATCCTTCACTTCCCAAATGTCATTGTTCACTTTACCACGGCTTGGTTCACTTCTCTTGAAGACAGCTTTATTTGCTTCACCATAGCATGTACTTATGCATGAAGCCCAGCACCTCTTGATCCTTGCAGCTCGCCACACTCCCATCCACTATCTATGCCCTCCTTTCATTCATCCATAGATCACCTTGTCTTTGCATTGCGTGCTCTCTCTGCGTGCCGGTGCCTGTCTCTGCATGGCTGTTCTTGCTTGCGCCTGTGCCTGTGACAGCAAGGGGCCGGAGGGCGAGGAAATCTGCAGAGTGCTGGGCGGAGGGGTTGTGCTGGGTGAGTGTGGGTGAGAGTGGGTGAGTGTGGGCAGTGGGATGAGATGATTGGGTAATTGTGGGTGGGGTGGGGATGAGATTAAGTGGGTGAATGTGGGTGGTGGGATGAGAGTGAGAGAGTAATGTGTGTGTTAAAGCATTTTCTTGTACGTGTGTTGGAGGAGGAAAGAGTGAGGCGGAGAAGAGAAGGGGGTGCCCGTGTTGGAAAGGTGGGTCAAAGTAGATGACGTCACTTCTTGATACCAGCATATTCTCTCTGGTGCTTGTTTGTGCCTGGTAGTAGTTTATTTTTGGATCTTTGCATAGCTCAATGCCTTTTTTTTATGTCTTGTTTTCAATCCCAACACTTTCGCTCCACTTCTTCCTGCCAGGTTCGCTGGTGCTCGTGTCTGGCAGCCCAGGTGCTGGGAAGAGCACTCTCCTGCTTCAGGTGAATTTCCAGACATGTTCGTTCTTGCTTCAGGTGCCTTTCCAAACAATCAATTTGTTACTCACCAATGTGTACTCCCTTTCCACTCCTTCCCCGCTCCTCCTTAGCCCTCATGGCTGTTCCCTCCCAGGTTTGTATGTGCAGGACGCAGGAAGCTTGCAGAAGCCGTTACATTGTAACCGTGATATGTATGACCCTTACCAACGGTACCCAACCTGCAACTGGCAGCGAGGGCTGGCATTTTGCAAAATCTGTAACATTGTAGGCCTTATGTGCATGACACGACACGACCCTTTCCAGATGTTAGCGCCCCTTGGTGACAGAAGAGGTATTGGCCTAACAGAAGCAGCTTTTACATCGTGGCCCTGATATGCATGGCCCGGCCCATCACTGGCAGCTGGCAGGGCTGCTGGCACAGGAGGTGAGGATCTTGCAAAACCCGTTACTTTGTAACCCTAACAATATGCATGACCCTTCCCATCTGTTACCTCTTTCCCAGACCTACAGCCGGCAGGGCTGCTGACAGAGCATGCAAGAGGCTTGCGAAGCTGTTACATTGCCATAACTCTGACTAACTCTATGCCCCTTCCCCAAGTGTTACCGTTAACACCACCCCCTTGCAGCTGGCAGGGCTGCTCGCGGTGGATGCAACTAGGGGCTTGCTGAGCTGTTACATTGCCATAACCTTGACTAACTGTATGCCCCTTCCCCAACTGTTACCGTCCCTGCAACTGTTACTGCTCTGTCTTCATGTGTATGCCCCGTTGCCCCTCCTTTTCAATTGTTCCACTTTCCACAACCTGCAGCTGCCAGGGCTGTTGGCTGGCAGAGGAGGCAAGGGGCACCCTAACATTAGAAATGATCTATTTCACATACTTCATCTTCTCTTTCTCTTATCCTACTGCCCTTACTTCTCTCATTATCTCTTTCATCAATCCCAATGCCCCTACCTCCCCCACACTACAGTTTCCATTGCTCCACCAGTTCCTACACGACTTGCTGCTTTATTTGCAGCTGTTGTTACTCCCACCTGTACTAGTCATCCCTCGTCTTCCCAGATCACAGCTGGTGCCGCTGCTCTGCCTACTGGTCCATCCGCTGCTCCGCCCACTGGCCCCCCCCGCTGCTCAGCCTGTTGCTCCACCCATTCCTCCTCCAACTGCCCCTACTTTTTTCACCACCTCTTCCATCATTCCCACTACTTCTACCTCCCGCACTACCGTTTTTATTGCTGGCGCCAATGCTCCGTCAATTCCAGCACCGCATGCTGCTGCTACTGCTACCTCTGGTCATCCTCATCCTCCTTCCCACATCATAGCTGGAGAGGAGGAGGAGGATGGCTAGAGGAACTAGCAGAAGCAGTAGCATGCGATGCTGGAATTGGCGAAGCATTGGCGCCTGCAATGGAAACGGTAATGCGGGAAGTAGAAGTAGTGGGAATGATGGAAGAGGTAGTGTGAGAAGTAGGGGCAGTTGGAGGAACAGGTGGAGCAGTGGGCTGAGCAGCGGGCGGACCAGTAGGCGGAGCAGCGGGTGGACCAGTAGGCGGAGCAGCGGCACCAGCTGTGATCTGGGAAGACGGGGGATGACTAGTAGAAGTGGGAATAGCAGGCACGCTGCTGGCAGAGCAGGCAAGAGGCTTGCGAAAGCCGTTTACATTGCCATAACGTTGACTGCCTCTATGCCGCTCCAACAATTGTTACCATTACCCCCCCCTGCAGCTGGCAGGGCTGCTGGCATAGGAGGCAAGAGGCTCGCGAAAGCTGTTACATTGTCATAACCGTTTCTGAATCCATGCCCCTTCCCCCCAATTGATACTGTTATCTCCCCCCTGCAGTTGGCAGGGCTGCTGGCGGAGGAGGCAAGAGGCTCGCTAACAGGAGGCTCCCCGCTGGCTGTGCTTTATGTGTCGGGGGAAGAGGTAGGTAGGTGGGGGGAGGTGGATTTAGGGAGGGGGCTGGCCAATTTGCATGCTGCCGCGGACAGGAAGCTCCCCGCCGGCTGTGCACTATGTGTCAGGGGAGGAGGTGCGTTGGGGGAGGTGGGTTTGGAGAGGTGGGTTGGGAGAGGTGAGTTTGGGGGAGGTGGCTGTCCGGTTTTCCTGCTGTCACGAACAAAAGGCTCCCCGCCGGCTGTGCTATATGTGTCTGGGGAAGAGATAGGTCTGGCGAAGTGAGCTTGTGGAAGGTGGCTGGCCGTTCTGTCTGCTGCTGCAAACCGGAGGATCACCACCCGCTGTGCTCTATGTGTCAGGGGAGGAGGTCGGCTGGGGGGAGGAGGTGGGCTGGGGAAGAGGTAGCCTGGTGGAGAGGCGGGCTTGGGGGAGGCGGGCTTGGGGGAGGTGCCCTGTGCTGGTGGTGTGGTGTGTGCAGAAGAGTGGGCTTGGGTGGAGGTTATGCACACACAGCACAGGTGGTGGGGTGACCTTTTTAGTCGACTGAAAGCTGCTGTGCGCTGTGTGTCTGGGGAGGAAAGGTGTTGTTGATATTATGTGCACACAGCACAGCACAGGTGGTGCGTTGTCTTCTAAGGTGACTTCAAGACGCTGTGCTCTGCGTGTGTGGGGTGCCCTTTCTCCCTCCTATCGCTGCAGCATGACAAGCAGCTGGCCACACTTGCTAAGCAACTGGGAATGAACAGGGCACTTGCACCTTTTGCCCCCCTTTCCCCTCTTCCGCCACCCAGCCACCCTCCCTTCCCCCACTCCAACTTCCCTTCCCCCTCTCTCCCTCCTCTCCCCCCTCTCTGCAGCGCGAGGAGCAGCTGGCCACACGGGCCAAGCGCCTGGGCATAACTGCAGACAACCTCTTCCTGCTCTCCGAGAACAACCTCGAGGTACCAACCAACCTACATACCAACCAACCGGCTTACCCAACTTGTTTTGAGTGAGGACCCGGCCCCCAAGGGTCAAGCCTTCGGTAAGTGGATCAGTGGACCACTCCACTCGCTGCGTATCACTGCTGCCAACCTCCTCCTGCTCTCCCAGAACAACCTCGAGGTACGAGCGATAACCAACCAACTTAACCGGCGAGCTTACCAAGTCGACTTGTTTTGAGTGAGAACCCTGGGAAACAAGTGAAGGTCAGCTAGCATGTGCCCAACACTCCACCTCTTGCTGGGCATCACGGCTGGCAGCCTCTTCCTGCTCTCCAAGAACAGCCTCGAGGTACGAGTGAGAAGCAATGAGGTGCAAGTGATAACCAACTGCCATACCCCCATCTACACTCGCTGGGCATCACGGCTGGCAGCCTCTTCCTGCTCCCCAAGAACAGCCTCGAGGTACGAGTGAGAAGCAATGAGGTGCAAGTGATAACCAACTGCCATACCCCCATCTCCACTCGCTGGGCATCACGGCTGGCAGCCTCTTCCTGCTCTCCAAGAACAGCCTCGAGGTACGAGTGAGAAGCAATGAGGTGCAAGTGATAACCAACTGCCATACCCCCAACTCCACTCGCTGGGCATCACGGCTGGCAGCCTCTTCCTGCTCTCCAAGAACAGCCTCGAAGTACGAGTGAGAAGCAATGAGGTGCAAGTGATAACCAACTGCCATACCCCCATCTCCACTCGCTGGGCATCACGGCTGGCAGCCTCTTCCTGCTCTCCAAGAACAGCCTCGAGGTACGAGTGAGAAGCAATGAGGTGCAAGTGATAACCAACTGCCATACCCCCATCTCCACTCGCTGGGCATCACGGCTGGCAGCCTCTTCCTGCTCTCCAAGAACAGCCTCGAGGTATGAGTGAGAAGCAATGAGGTGCAAGTGATAACCAACTGCCATACCCCCATCTCCACTCGCTGGGCATCACGGCTGGCAGCCTCTTCCTGCTCCCCAAGAACAGCCTCGAGGTACGAGTGAGAAGCAATGAGGTGCAAGTGATAACCAACTGCCATACCCCCATCTCCACTCGCTGGGCATCACGGCTGGCAGCCTCTTCCTGCTCTCCAAGAACAGCCTCGAGGTACGAGTGAGAAGCAATGAGGTGCAAGTGATAACCAACTGCCATACCCCCATCTCCACTCGCTGGGCATCACGGCTGGCAGCCTCTTCCTGCTCTCCAAGAACAGCCTCGAGGTATGAGTGAGAAGCAATGAGGTGCAAGTGATAACCAACTGCCATACCCCCATCTCCACTCGCTGGGCATCACGGCTGGAAGCCTCTTCCTGCTCCCCAAGAACAGCCTCGAGGTACGAGTGAGAAGCAATGAGGTGCGAGTGATAACGAACTGCCATACCCTCATCTCCACTCGCTGGGCATCACGGCTGGCAGCCTCTTCCTGCTCCCCAAGAACAGCCTCGAGGTACGAGTGAGAAGCAATGAGGTGCAAGTGATAACCAACTGCCATACCCCCATCTCCACTCGCTGGGCATCACGGCTGGCAGCCTCTTCCTGCTCTCCAAGAACAGCCTCGAGGTACGAGTGAGAAGCAATGAGGTGCAAGTGATAACCAACTGCCATACCTCCATCTCCACTCGCTGGGCATCACGGCTGGCAGCCTCTTCCTGCTCTCCAAGAACAGCCTCGAGGTACGAGTGAGAAGCAATGAGGTGCAAGTGATAACCAACTGCCATACCCCCATCTCCACTCGCTGGGCATCACGGCTGGCAGCCTCTTCCTGCTCTCCAAGAACAGCCTCGAGGTACGAGTGAGAAGCAATGAGGTGCAAGTGATAACCAACTGCCCTACCCCCATCTCCACTCGCTGGGCATCACGGCTGGCAGCCTCTTCCTGCTCTCCAAGAACAGCCTCGAAGTACGAGTGAGAAGCAATGAGGTGCAAGTGATAACCAACTGCCATACCCCCATCTCCACTCGCTGGGCATCACGGCTGGCAGCCTCTTCCTGCTCTCCAAGAACAGCCTCGAGGTACGAGTGAGAAGCAATGAGGTGCAAGTGATAACCAACTGCCATACCCCCATCTCCACTCGCTGGGCATCACGGCTGGCAGCCTCTTCCTGCTCTCCAAGAACAGCCTCGAGGTATGAGTGAGAAGCAATGAGGTGCAAGTGATAACCAACTGCCATACCCCCATCTCCACTCGCTGGGCATCACGGCTGGCAGCCTCTTCCTGCTCTCCAAGAACAGCCTCGAGGTACGAGTGAGAAGCAATGAGGTGCGAGTGATAACCAACTGCCATACCCTCATCTCCACTCGCTGGGCATCACGGCTGGAAGCCTCTTCCTGCTCCCCAAGAACAGCCTCGAGGTACGAGTGAGAAGCAATGAGGTGCGAGTGATAACGAACTGCCATACCCTCATCTCCACTCGCTGGGCATCACGGCTGGCAGCCTCTTCCTGCTCCCCAAGAACAGCCTCGAGGTACGAGTGAGAAGCAATGAGGTGCAAGTGATAACCAACTGCCATACCCCCATCTCCACTCGCTGGGCATCACGGCTGGCAGCCTCTTCCTGCTCTCCAAGAACAGCCTCGAGGTACGAGTGAGAAGCAATGAGGTGCAAGTGATAACCAACTGCCATACCTCCATCTCCACTCGCTGGGCATCACGGCTGGCAGCCTCTTCCTGCTCTCCAAGAACAGCCTCGAGGTACGAGTGAGAAGCAATGAGGTGCAAGTGATAACCAACTGCCATACCCCCATCTCCACTCGCTGGGCATCACGGCTGGCAGCCTCTTCCTGCTCTCCAAGAACAGCCTCGAGGTACGAGTGAGAAGCAATGAGGTGCGAGTGATAACCAACTGCCATACCCCCATCTCCACTCGCTGGGCATCACGGCTGGCAGCCTCTTCCTGCTCCCCAAGAACAGCCTCGAGGTACGAGTGAGAAGCAATGAGGTGCAAGTGATAACCAACTGCCATACCCCCATCTCCACTCGCTGGGCATCACGGCTGGCAGCCTCTTCCTGCTCTCCAAGAACAGCCTCGAGGTACGAGTTAGAAGCAATGAGGTGCAAGTGATAATCAACTGCCATACCCCCATCTCCACTCGCTGGGCATCACGGCTGGCAGCCTCTTCCTGCTCCCCAAGAACAGCCTCGAGGTACGAGTGAGAAGCAATGAGGTGCAAGTGATAACCAACTGCCATACCCCCATCTCCACTCGCTGGGCATCACGGCTGGCAGCCTCTTCCTGCTCCCCAAGAACAGCCTCGAGGTACGAGTGAGAAGCAATGAGGTGCAAGTGATAACCAACTGCCATACCCCCATCTCCACTCGCTGGGCATCACGGCTGGCAGCCTCTTCCTGCTCTCCAAGAACAGCCTCGAGGTACAAGTGAGAAGCAATGAGGTGCAAGTGATAACCAACTGCCATACCCCCATCTCCACTCGCTGGGCATCACGGCTCGCAGCCTCTTCCTGCTCCCCAAGAACAGCCTCGAGGTACGAGTGAGAAGCAATGAGGTGCAAGTGATAACCAACTGCCATACCCCCATCTCCACTCGCTGGGCATCACGGCTGGCAGCCTCTTCCTGCTCTCCAAGAACAGCCTCGAGGTACGAGTGAGAAGCAATGAGGTGCAAGTGATAACCAACTGCCATACCCCCATCTCCACTCGCTGGGCATCACGGCTGGCAGCCTCTTCCTGCTCCCCAAGAACAGCCTCGAGGTACGAGTGAGAAGCAATGAGGTGCAAGTGATAACCAACTGCCATACCCCCATCTCCACTCGCTGGGCATCACGGCTGGCAGCCTCTTCCTGCTCTCCAAGAACAGCCTCGAGGTACGAGTGAGAAGCAATGAGGTGCAAGTGATAACCAACTGCCATACCTCCATCTCCACTCGCTGGGCATCACGGCTGGCAGCCTCTTCCTGCTCTCCAAGAACAGCCTCGAGGTACGAGTGCGAAGCAATGAGGTGCAAGTGATAACCAACTGCCATACCCCCATCTCCACTCGCTGGGCATCACGGCTGGCAGCCTCTTCCTGCTCCCCAAGAACAGCCTCGAGGTACGAGTGAGAAGCAATGAGGTGCGAGTGATAACGAACTGCCATACCCTCATCTCCACTCGCTGGGCATCACGGCTGGCAGCCTCTTCCTGCTCTCCAAGAACAGCCTCGAGGTACGAGTTAGAAGCAATGAGGTGCGAGTGATAACCAACTGCCATACCCCCATCTCCACTCGCTGGGCATCACGGCTGGCAGCCTCTTCCTGCTCTCCAAGAACAGCCTCGAGGTACGAGTGAGAAGCAATGAGGTGCAAGTGATAACCAACTGCCATACCCCCATCTCCACTCGCTGGGCATCACGGCTGGCAGCCTCTTCCTGCTCTCCAAGAACAGCCTCGAGGTACGAGTGAGAAGCAATGAGGTGCGAGTGATAACCAACTGCCATACCCCCATCTCCACTCGCTGGGCATCACGGCTGGCAGCCTCTTCCTGCTCTCCAAGAACAGCCTCGAGGTACGAGTTAGAAGCAATGAGGTGCGAGTGATAACCAACTGCCATACCCCCATCTCCACTCGCTGGGCATCACGGCTGGCAGCCTCTTCCTGCTCTCCAAGAACAGCCTCGAGGTACGAGTGAGAAGCAATGAGGTGCAAGTGATAACCAACTGCCATACCCCCATCTCCACTCGCTGGGCATCACGGCTGGCAGCCTCTTCCTGCTCTCCAAGAACAGCCTCAAGGTACGAGTGAGAAGCAATGAGGTGCAAGTGATAACCAACTGCCATACCCCCATCTCCACTCGCTGGGCATCACAGCTGGCAGCCTCTTCCTGCTCTCCAAGAACAGCCTCGAGGTACGAGTGAGAAGCAATGAGGTGCGAGTGATAACGAACTGCCATACCCTCATCTCCACTCGCTGGGCATCACGGCTGGCAGCCTCTTCCTGCTCCCCAAGAACAGCCTCGAGGTACGAGTTAGAAGCAATGAGGTGCGAGTGATAACCAACTGCCATACCCCCATCTCCACTCGCTGGGCATCACGGCTGGCAGCCTCTTCCTGCTCTCCAAGAACAGCCTCGAGGTACGAGTGAGAAGCAATGAGGTGCAAGTGATAACCAACTGCCATACCCCCATCTCCACTCGCTGGGCATCACGGCTGGCAGCCTCTTCCTGCTCCCCAAGAACAGCCTCGAGGTACGAGTGAGAAGCAATGAGGTGCAAGTGATAACCAACTGCCATACCCCCATCTCCACTCGCTGGGCATCACGGCTGGCAGCCTCTTCCTGCTCTCCAAGAACAGCCTCGAGGTACGAGTTAGAAGCAATGAGGTGCAAGTGATAATCAACTGCCATACCCCCATCTCCACTCGCTGGGCATCACGGCTGGCAGCCTCTTCCTGCTCCCCAAGAACAGCCTCGAGGTACGAGTGAGAAGCAATGAGGTGCAAGTGATAACCAACTGCCATACCCCCATCTCCACTCGCTGGGCATCACGGCTGGCAGCCTCTTCCTGCTCCCCAAGAACAGCCTCGAGGTACGAGTGAGAAGCAATGAGGTGCAAGTGATAACCAACTGCCATACCCCCATCTCCACTCGCTGGGCATCACGGCTGGCAGCCTCTTCCTGCTCTCCAAGAACAGCCTCGAGGTACAAGTGAGAAGCAATGAGGTGCAAGTGATAACCAACTGCCATACCCCCATCTCCACTCGCTGGGCATCACGGCTCGCAGCCTCTTCCTGCTCCCCAAGAACAGCCTCGAGGTACGAGTGAGAAGCAATGAGGTGCAAGTGATAACCAACTGCCATACCCCCATCTCCACTCGCTGGGCATCACGGCTGGCAGCCTCTTCCTGCTCTCCAAGAACAGCCTCGAGGTACGAGTGAGAAGCAATGAGGTGCAAGTGATAACCAACTGCCATACCCCCATCTCCACTCGCTGGGCATCACGGCTGGCAGCCTCTTCCTGCTCCCCAAGAACAGCCTCGAGGTACGAGTGAGAAGCAATGAGGTGCAAGTGATAACCAACTGCCATACCCCCATCTCCACTCGCTGGGCATCACGGCTGGCAGCCTCTTCCTGCTCTCCAAGAACAGCCTCGAGGTACGAGTGAGAAGCAATGAGGTGCAAGTGATAACCAACTGCCATACCTCCATCTCCACTCGCTGGGCATCACGGCTGGCAGCCTCTTCCTGCTCTCCAAGAACAGCCTCGAGGTACGAGTGCGAAGCAATGAGGTGCAAGTGATAACCAACTGCCATACCCCCATCTCCACTCGCTGGGCATCACGGCTGGCAGCCTCTTCCTGCTCCCCAAGAACAGCCTCGAGGTACGAGTGAGAAGCAATGAGGTGCGAGTGATAACGAACTGCCATACCCTCATCTCCACTCGCTGGGCATCACGGCTGGCAGCCTCTTCCTGCTCTCCAAGAACAGCCTCGAGGTACGAGTTAGAAGCAATGAGGTGCGAGTGATAACCAACTGCCATACCCCCATCTCCACTCGCTGGGCATCACGGCTGGCAGCCTCTTCCTGCTCTCCAAGAACAGCCTCGAGGTACGAGTGAGAAGCAATGAGGTGCAAGTGATAACCAACTGCCATACCCCCATCTCCACTCGCTGGGCATCACGGCTGGCAGCCTCTTCCTGCTCTCCAAGAACAGCCTCGAGGTACGAGTGAGAAGCAATGAGGTGCGAGTGATAACCAACTGCCATACCCCCATCTCCACTCGCTGGGCATCACGGCTGGCAGCCTCTTCCTGCTCTCCAAGAACAGCCTCGAGGTACGAGTTAGAAGCAATGAGGTGCGAGTGATAACCAACTGCCATACCCCCATCTCCACTCGCTGGGCATCACGGCTGGCAGCCTCTTCCTGCTCTCCAAGAACAGCCTCGAGGTACGAGTGAGAAGCAATGAGGTGCAAGTGATAACCAACTGCCATACCCCCATCTCCACTCGCTGGGCATCACGGCTGGCAGCCTCTTCCTGCTCTCCAAGAACAGCCTCAAGGTACGAGTGAGAAGCAATGAGGTGCAAGTGATAACCAACTGCCATACCCCCATCTCCACTCGCTGGGCATCACAGCTGGCAGCCTCTTCCTGCTCTCCAAGAACAGCCTCGAGGTACGAGTGAGAAGCAATGAGGTGCGAGTGATAACGAACTGCCATACCCTCATCTCCACTCGCTGGGCATCACGGCTGGCAGCCTCTTCCTGCTCCCCAAGAACAGCCTCGAGGTACGAGTTAGAAGCAATGAGGTGCGAGTGATAACCAACTGCCATACCCCCATCTCCACTCGCTGGGCATCACGGCTGGCAGCCTCTTCCTGCTCTCCAAGAACAGCCTCGAGGTACGAGTGAGAAGCAATGAGGTGCAAGTGATAACCAACTGCCATACCCCCATCTCCACTCGCTGGGCATCACGGCTGGCAGCCTCTTCCTGCTCTCCAAGAACAGCCTCAAGGTACGAGTGAGAAGCAATGAGGTGCAAGTGATAACCAACTGCCATACCCCCATCTCCACTCGCTGGGCATCACGGCTGGCAGCCTCTTCCTGCTCTCCAAGAACAGCCTCGAGGTACCAATCTCATGCCAGAAGTTCCTACTAGTTTGCAAGAATCTCCTAATATACCTTTAACTCGCGAACCTACACTCGCTGAGAAATCCTTATACAGCCTTATACCTCGTGCGACTCAATACAGGCTAGATTGGGCCCCAACCAACCCAGCCCGGCCCCCAGCATCACTTCCCACCTTCTCTCCCCACCACCACCTCTCCCCACCACCTCTCACCACCTTCTCTCCCCACCTTCTCTCCCCACCTTCTCTCCCCACCTTCTCTCCCCACCTTCTCTCCCCACCTCCTCTCCCCACCTCCTCTCCCCACCTCCTCTCCCCACCTCCTCTCCCCACCTCCTCTCCCCACCTCCTCTCCCCACCTCCTCTCCCCACCTCCTCTCCCCACCTCCTCTCCCCACCCCCTCTCCCCACCTTCTCTCCCCACCTTCTCTCCCCACCTTCTCTCCCCACCTCCCTCCCCACCTTCTCTCCCCACCTTCTCTCCCCACCTTCTCTCTCCACCTCCTCTCCCCACCTCCTCTCCCCACCTCCTTTCCCCACCTCCTCTCCCCACCCCCTCTCCCCACCTTCTCTCCCCACCTTCTCTCCCCACCTTCTCTCCCCACCTCCCTCCCCACCTTCTCTCCCCACCTTCTCTCCCCACCTCCCTCCCCACCTTCTCTCCCCACCTTCTCTCCCCACCTCCGCTCCCCTCTTCCACCTCCTCTTCCCATGGCAGAGATTCTCCATTTTAATTCACATCCGTGCGCTGTGAAAGACAGTGGACTCCATTTGCTGCCCTTAGTGCCTCCACCTATTCCCCACAGCCTTCTTCGCTCCTTTCCCACCTGCAGGGCATTTTCTAGGGATCATGGGAATAAACCGCGAGCTGTGAGGGTGGACTCCATTCAGACCATGCGGTGTCCCCACTTTGGGGACCCCATCTATGCACTTCCTTTCCTCACCTCCTTTCCACCCCCCCCAGAGCATTCGTGAGGGCATCACGGAGATAGGGCTGTGTGCTGCGATTGTGGACGCCACTCACTGGCCTCATTGTCACCGCCCCTCCCTAACTCGTCGTCCCCACAATCCTGTCCTCCTCCCCCCAGAGCATACAGGAGGGGATCACAGTCACAGTCACAGTCACAGTCACAGTCACAGTCACAGTCACAGTCACAGTCACAGTCACAGTTACAGTCACAGTCACAGTCACAGTCACAGTCACAGTCACAGTCACAGTCACAGTCACAGTCACAGTCACAGTCACAGTCACAGTCAGTCACAGTCACAGTCACAGTCACAGTCACAGTCACAGTCACAGTCACAGTCACAGTCACAGATACAGAGCCTCACTGTCACCTCCTCTTCCCCACAATCCTGTTTCTTCCCTCCTTTCCCCCGTCAGAGCATTCTTGAGGGAATCACGGAGATAGAGCCGCGTGCTGTGATTGTGGACTCCATTCAAACCATGCACCTGCCAGGTGTCACCGGCTCATTGGGCAGCGTCAGCCAGGTGAGGCAGGGCTGAGGGGGAGGGGAGGGAGGAGGAGAGTAGAGGGAGAGGGTGAGTAGAGGGAGAGGGAGAGTAGAGAGCGAGGGAGGGGAGAGAAAGTGGTGGAAGCAGCAGCTTAGGTAAAGAGGGGAAACTGAGGCTCTGTAACATGTGTGAGGGGATGCGTGACATAAACGGATGCGATCTCTGTCTTAAATGATATCGGCTTTCATCTTTCCTTCCTCTCCCCTCCTCCCCTCCCCTCCTCCCCTCCCCTCCCCTCCCCTCCCTCCCCTCCCCTCCCCTCCCCCCCCTCCCCTAACCTCCCCTCCCCTCCCCTCCCCCCCCCTCCCCTCCCTCCTTTCCCCTCCCCTTTGCTCCCCCTTTCGTTCGCAATCTCTTCCTCTCAGGTGCGGGAGTGCACGCTGCTGCTGCTGCTGGAGGCCAAGAACCGAGGCATTCCCATCTTCATTGTAAGCCAAGCCGTTTCTGACAATTCTCAAAGGTACATTGTGAGCCCCGCCCACTCCCACATTGCCATGTCGCTCTTTGCCCCTTCCCTTCTCTTCCTTCCCGCATGCTGCTGTTGCTACCGTGAGGCCAACTGAGGCATTCTTCTCGTGATTGTGAGGGGCCTTTTGGAATGGCTGTGATCTAGTGTAACGGTTTCTCATGAAAATGTATGCATCCATTGTTATCACTCCCCCCCTGTATCCCACACAACAGGTGGGCCATGTGACTAAAGCGGGGGACGTGGCGGGGCCGAGGGACTTGAAGCACATAGTGGATGTGGTGATGCACGTGGAGGTGAGTGTGACTGTAACAGGTGCTACATTGGTGGTAGGGAGTGGTTTCAAAGCTAGGTCCGAGTTGACAAGGGTGCGGCAGGCCCCAGGGACCTGAAGCACATAGTGGATGTGGTGATGCACGTGGAGGTGGGTGAGAGTGAGTGTAACTGGTGTCTGGTAGGGAGTGAAACTGGTAAGTATGGGCGTGTGGCAGTGTCAAGGGACCTGAAGCACGTAGTGGATGTGGTGATACGCGTAGAGGTGAGTGAGGGACTGAGTGTGACTGTAACTGCTGTGACACTGGTAGTAGGGAGTCGCGTCAAAGTTATGTGCAAGTTTGTCGAGGGTATGGCAGTGTCGATGGGCCTAAAGCACACATGGGGGTGAACGATGCACGTGGAGGGGAGTGGTGCCTTATTTACCAATGTGAGTGATGTGCATTTGGTACCATCACCACCTGCCTGCCACAAAGCGACTTCTGAGTCGACTCAAAGGTGCCGCGCTATTCACACATAGCCAGCGGCAAAGTGTGAATAGCACAGCAGCTAAAGGTGAGGTTGTACTATATTGTTGTTTTCTGTACTCTTGCTTTCATTTGTGTGCTTTGCATGTATTGTACATATTGATTCAGAGTCGAGGTGTTGGGGATTCGAGGAGGTTGGTGTGGGCAGGGTTGAGAATCCAATTCCAGGTTGGGAATTCGATTCAAGGAATTCTTTTCCAGCTAAATGGCGGTGCATGCCTAGTGGGCCAGTGGGACCCAGCTAGCACCTCAGTTGGCATGCAACTTGGCCCTGGAGGTTGCGTGCAAGTCAGGGAAGGCTAGGCAAGAGGATAAGAGGGATTTAAGCAGAAGGAATGCTCGTGCTCGATGTTTTTTGCTTGTATGCTTCTTTTACTTCTTTCCTACCACGAAAGCAAACAGTAATAGATGCCGAAGCAAAAAGGATCGAGCATAGATGCGTACGGGAGGTAAGATCAATGTTGGACTATACGCTCAGACCCTAAAGCGTACAGTGTTTATACGCTTGCGTATATACCCAAAACGCTATACGCTAGCTAATACGCTATACGCACTCAGAATGTTTTTGGGGCTGCCCGGGAAAAAAAATCGTGAGTATACGGAAAAATGCGGATTCTCCTGTTGACCATTTCGCCGAAGTCGAAATGCAATTCGAAGGGAGGAGAGCATGCTCTGTCACTTTTTCTTGCAACGCGTCACTATCTCCTTCTTCTGCCCGAAAGTCAGACTTGACTGGCAGGGGCTCATGTTCCTCCTTTCTCCTGTCAGAATACTGCTATCCTGATCAGAGTCAATGAGTGTGCAGATCATTATCGGTCTTGCTCATGCGTCACGGTCCTTCTATGCCGTAGCTATCTCCGGGTCTTAGCGTCCGTATGCTTCTATGCTCGGTTTTTTTTGCTTGTATGAAACAAGCCGCACTCTCCCCTCACGAGGGCTTAGTCGATTTTCTTCGGCATCTATTCACTGCTTGCTTTCGTGGTAGGAATACGAATTACTTCACAACAAAGGCCAACGTGAGTGAGACGCACATTGCACCATCGCCCGCTTACTGCACTTCTCCCGCCTCTCCCCTTCGTTCAACCTCTCCCTCTCGCTCACCCTCACCCTCTCCCTCTCGCTCACCGTCACCCTCTCCCTCTCGCTCACCCTCACCCTCACTCTCCCTCACTCTCCCTCACTCTCCCTCACTCTCCCTCACCCTCACCATCTCTATCTGCCCTCCCCATCCACCAGAATCGAAAGGCAGCACAGCCACCGCATCCCGAGCACCAGCAAAAACCGTCGTGTTCTTTCTCTTGTCTTTCTCTGTTCGTTCTATTTCGGCCCCAAAATTACCATACATGACAGAGTGACAGGCAGGACAGCCACCGCATCCTGAGCACCAGCAAGAACCGATTCGGCTCCACTGATGAGGTGAATTGAATTGCGGGGGGCCATGAGTGTGTGAAGGCGAGTGATTGTGTTATAATGAGTGAGTGGAGGGGCGGGAGTGTGCGGAAGTGAGTGAGTGTGTGTGTGGAGGTGAGAGTAATGGAGGAAGGTCACTGCAACTCTATGTGCCAGAGCGACAGGCAGGACAGCCACCGCATTCTCAGCACCAGCAAGAACTGATTCGGCCAATGATGAGGTGAGTGTTGTTATAGGGGAGTGGATGGAGGTGAGTGGGTGGAGGGGAGTGGGTGGAGGTGAGTGTGTGGAGGTGAGTGTGTGGGGGTGAACTATCACCCATTCCACCTGAACGATTACCCATCCTACTTGAACCTATCACTCATCTCATCTGAACCAGCCCATCACACTCTGAACCTCTTCTTAGGCGTTGTAGGGTAATAGGTTTGATGTGAAGGCATCCCTATAATCTCAAGGCAATCAGGATGATCGTTCCGTTCTGTCTCTTCCTTCCATTCACTCGCTTCACTTGTCCTCTGCATTTTTCCTCCCCCCACCAACTCGCTTCATTGGAAGTCCTTACTGTGTCCCCCCTACCCCTCCCCTCCTCCCCCCCACCCCACCCCACAACCCTCCCCCCCCCAACCCCTCTTTCCCACCCCCCTCCCCTCCCTTCCTGGTGGGCGTGTTTCAGATGGCAGCATGCGGCATGGTGCCATTGCTCCACCCCAGCCTCGCCTTCCCCTAGCCAGCAAGGCAGGGGACGATGGCTAGACATGATCACGGGTCGAGTCGAGTCGAGTCACCTCGATTCGCGGTCGAGTCGGGAGTTGCGTCGAGTCGAGTCGAGTCGAGCCATAGTGGAGTCAGTTTTCCGAAATTACAGACTCGTGCTCGACTTCTGAAGTCGAGTCAGGCCTTGACTCGAGCACGAGTCATCAACTCGCGAGTCAGTCTTGACTCGACTTCACCTTTGAGAGTTTTCAAGGGCCCCAAAAGTCAAGGTAGGAATGACGAAATCCCGTTTCTTCCCCTTTCCGCACAGGTAAATTGATGCACACCCAAAATTGAGTGACGGGGGGAATTGGGTGACGGGGGAATTCGCGTGACAGGCGGAAATTGGGTGTCGGGGGAATTTGCGTGACAGGCGGAAATTGAGTGTCGGGGGGGGGGGGTTTGCGTGTCGAGCGGAAATTGTGAGTGATAGTCGGAAGTTCAGTGACGGGGGAAATTGCATGAGGAAAGGAGGGGGGATTGACAACGGGAATCCACGTGGGTAAAATTTGTGGCCCTCGAGTCAGCCCAGCTCGAATCGAGTCAGCCGACTCGCCGACTCGTGGCTCACCAGACTGTCCTCAAGTCGGGCGATGTATCGAGATTTCTCCTCAATTCGCTTCGACTCGACTCGACTCGAGTCAGGAAAAGAAAATAACTGACTCTACTCGACCTAGAGTCGAGTCGAGCCAGCGAGTCGAGCTAAAACTCGCCTCGATTGATCATGTCTAACGATGGCAATACCCAAATCTCCCCTTCTTTCATCCCGTCGCCCCCCGTCATTCCACCCCCGCTTGCCCGCCCTACCAGGTGGCAGTGCCTCGCCTTCCCCTTGGCCAGCAGCCCAGGGGATGATGGCAATACCCATATTTTCACTTTTCTCATCCCGTTGCCCCCCGTCACCCTCCGTTGCCCCCCGTCACCCGCCGTTGCCCCCCGTCACCCTCCATTGCCCCCCGTCACCCTCCGTTGCTCCTCGTCACCCTGCCCACGCTTGCTCCCCCTACTAGGTGGTCATGTCTGAGATGTCAACATGTGGCATGGTGGCAGTGCCCCACCCCAGCCTCGCCTTCCCCTCCTTTGCCCCTCTACTCATCCCATCGCCCTCCTCCCCTCGCCTCTCAATCCCCAACCGCCCCCCTCTCCCTTAGGTGGGTGTGTTCGAGATGGCAGCACGCGGCATGGTGGCAGTGTGCCCCACCCCAGCCTCGCCTTCCTTTTCTTTGCCTCTCTTTTCCTCCGATCACCTTCCTTCCTTCCACTCTCACACTGCCAGGTGGGTGTGTTCGAGATGGCAGCACAGGGCATGGTAGCAGTACCCAACCCCAGCCTCACCTTCCTCCTGTTCACTCAAAAGTCTCTTATTCCCAACCATCACCCTCTCTACCCCTACTCCCAGGTGGGCGTGTTCGAGATGGCAGCGCAGGGCATGGTGGCAGTGCCCAACCCCAGCCTCGCCTTCCTCTCCTTTGGCCCTCTTCTCCTCCCACCACCCTCCTCCCCTCGCCTCTAAATCCCCAACCGCCCCCCCTCCCTTAGGTGGGAGTGTTCGAGATGGCAGCACAGGGCATGGTGGCAGTGCCCAACCCCAGCCTCGCCTTCCTCCCGGCCAGCCGCACGCGGGGCAGTGCAGCTGTTGCCGTGGTCATGCATGGCAGCAGGCCGCTGCTGCTGGAGGTGCAGGTGGGTGGCTGTGGGTGGTGGTGTGTGTGTGTGTGTGTGTGTGTGTGTGTGTGTGTGTGTGTGTGTGTGTGTGTGTGTGTGTGTGTGTGTGTGTGGCATTGTGTGACTGGGGGAGGAAGTATGCAGCACTGTGGGCAGTGCAGCGGTGGCCGTGATGCACGGCAGCAGACCACTGCTGCTGCAGGTGTGTGGGTGTGGGTGGGTGTGATATGATGCTATGGTGAGTTGGTCGAATGCAGCACTGTGGACAGTGCAGCAGTGGCTGTGGTGATGCATGGGAGCAGATCACTCTGGTTGGAAGTGCAGGTGGGTGGTTTGTGGTTGGCTCAGTGGTAACAGGCAGTGCAGTGATGTCCGTGGGGATGTATGGGAGCAGGCCGTTGCTGCTGGAGGTGCAGGTGTGTGGGTGTCCCATGATTAGTGTGGTGTGATGGGGACAGTGGGAGGTCGAGTGCGCCACTGAAGGCAGTGCAGCCGTGGCTGTGGGTATGGCAGCAGGCCGTTGCTGCTGGAGGTGCAGGTGGGCTCTAGTGATGTTATGGTGAGATGGTAGATTCCCTTACATGTACCGCTGTGCCACACTCACAATTTTCATGTCATGCCTACTCCGCTCTCACCCCTCTCCTATTTCTCTCTTGTTCCCATTCTGCCACCAGGCCCTGTGCGTAAAAACCATTCCCAACATCCCACCCATCAAGTCCGCCAACGGAGTGGACATGCATCGCCAACGGAGTGGACATGCATCGCCAACGGAGTGGACATGCATCGCCAACGGAGTGGACATGCATCGCCAACGGAGTGGACATGCATCGCCTCACCATCCTCACCACAATCCTCATATCCCCTCCTGCTTTCCCGACACCAGGCGCTGTGTGTGAAGGCCATCCCCAACATACTGCCCACCAAGACCGCCAATGGGGTGGACATGTACCGCCTCACCATCCACAAGTCTTTCCTCGCTTCGCCTCTATTCTACCATATCCATGTCTCCCTGTCTTCAACTCACCAGGCCCTATGCGTGAAGGCCATCCCCAACATCCCGCCCACCAAGACCGCCAATGGGATGGACATGTACCTTCTTTCTCACCATCCTCAGGTCCTCGCGTCCTTGTGTCCTCGTTCTCTTCCTGTCCCCTCTTTTCCCTCCCACCAGGCCCTGTGCGTAAAAGCCATCCCCAACATCCCACCCACCAAGACAGCCAACGGGGTGGACATGTACCGCCTCACCATCCTCACCAAGATCATGCGTCACATCGGCCTGCCTATTGGCTCTAAGGTGAGTGTGAATGCAATGCGCCCCACATCCACAATAAGTTTGGGCACCGGTTGCATGGCAGCCTGACAACCAGCTACACGACAGCCTGGCACCCTGTTACGTGACTGACACCCCAGCACCCTGTCCCATGCTTACCGTCATTACGATGTCATGCGCAGCAGAGTCACATGGTTCACTGCTGTGTCTTCGCACGCCTTGTGGACGGCATAGGTGATCAAGTCACCGATTTCCATGCTTGTTGCTACCCTGTGGTTACCTCATCGCCCCTGGTAGGATGTTGTTGTGAACGTGGTGGAGGGCATGCAGGTCAAGGAGGAGCCTGCTGCTTTGCTCAAGACTCCCCGCACTCTGCCTGCTAACTTGCTACCCTATTAACCCACTACCGTGTTACTGTGTTGTCTTTTTGCTCTTCCAGGATGTGGTGGTGAATGTGGTGGGGGGCATGCAGGTGAAGGAGCCTGCTGCTGACCTCGCCATTGCTGTTGCCATCGCCAGCAGGTGTGTTGCTCTCTTCTCCTGCCTGGCAGCATATACTCATGTAATCTTGTGTCGTAACTGAGTGCCTCTGTGCCTGTGTACTTGGCATCGTCTGCTTCTGTGCATGTCTCTCTCTGTTCATCTGCTTCCCACCTATGCCTCCACTTTTTGCAACATTCTTCCCCTCCCTTCTGCCATCCCCCCACCATCTTGCTGCTCCCTCTCACCCCACACCTGCCAGTCTGTATGAGAGTCCAGTGCCTGCCAGCAGACACGGCCTTCATGCCACCAAACCCCCATCATCTCATGCATCCCTCTCTCCATCCTCCCCTATCATCTCACTGCCCATCAGTCTATACGAGAGCCCGGTGCCAGCAGACACGGCCTTCATTGGCGAGATTGGGCTCAACGGGGAGTTGAGAGGGGTGAGATGTTGACCTCGTGGGGCATGGAGCATGCACTGTACACTCCCAAAATACGTTATCACAATGTTTTTCATTCACTGTACATTGTTGTTGTTTGGTGCACAGAGGGGGGTGGCTTCTAACAGGCTCTACTTGTACTCTGTTTTTTGTCAGGTGATTCAGCTGGATCGGCGTGTGAATGAGGTGGCCAAGCTTGGGTTTTCTCGTTGTGTCGTGCCAGCAAAGCAGTGGAAAGGGCAAGCAGCACCCAGTGGATGTGAGGTGGTGAAATGCGAGGGACTACGAGATGCATTGAAGGCAGTAGGGATACAGAGCACAGGTTATGGGGGTAAAAGGAAGGTCAAAGAGGAGGAAATTGATGAGGATGAAGACTACCTGTAGAATCAATGCTACTACAATCATTGTGTAGATATAGTTTTTTTGGAGTGTACTGCGTAACACAGGGACCGAGATTCACTGATTTCGCCTACGAATACATTGCCTTTGGCCGCCGCGTCGTACACTCGACCCAGCTGATTGGCCGTGCAAAAGCGCACAATGGTCGTGACATGACATCGCCGTCGTACGAAAGGTTTCACGAATTCGGGAAAATCGTACGGTGGTCAACCCGTACCGCAGAATTGACCACAGAACAGACCGTTCGCCTGCTCGTACGATTATACGAACTGTCTGTGGTTCAAAGACTATCCCACGAAATCCCCATTAACCGATCTAAACCGCAAATATAGCTGCTGACGTCAGCTCTGCTCATTCGCATTCAGCAACCATCCGCCCTGGTCAGCCCATCAATACTACTACTATTGAGCACCTGAATCATATTTAGACCTCTGCGCTGCGCCGTCTCCTCGTCCTTTCTCCCCACCTCACTTTCCTCCCCTTCCCCCCTCGACGCATCGTCGTTGCGCTCTCCTCCGCTTCTTCCGCCAACCCCTGCTTCCGCCGCCAATGGCGTCCCTCGCCGCGCAAAATCTCTCGAGAGAGCTCGGCGCGCTTTCCGCCGCCCAGCGTTCCGGCGTAGCGGATTTCCCCGTCAGGCGAATCTCTGTTCCTCTAGCGGGTGTGACTAAAACGAATCGCCGCGTGCGAGCAGCTTCAACCTCCAGCAGCAGCGAATCGCAAGGCGCGCCGTCGAATGCGGTCAGCCGTCGATCGCTGCTCGCCGTGTCGCTGTCGGCTGCGACTCTCGCACCGCTCCTGTCGCCGTCGCTTCCCTCGTTTAGGTACATCAGCAAGAATTCGTGGCTTCAAGCGCGTGTCACTTTTTAGAGCACGTCGCCTTCCTGCCTGCAGAATCAGCTGTCAGTTTGTCTGCTGTCGCCGTCCCTCCCCTCGTTTAGGTACATCAGTATGCGTCCGTGCCATCGCCCCTCTCGCTTTGTGGCCTCAATCTCTTGTCCCTTGTCCGAAGCACCGTCGCTTCTCGGATTCCTGCCTGTACTTCGCTAGAATCAGCTGTCATTCTGTCATTCTGTCAGTCTGCCAGCTGTCAATCGTCCAGGTGCAGTCCACATCGCCATCATCCCCACCCGCTTCCCCGTGCGCCGTTCTTCCCCTACCCTCCACCCCACTTCCTTCCCTGCCCTCTCTCCCACTCTCTTCTCTGTCGCCCTCCCCCTCGCCCACCGTTCCTCTCTCTCTTTCACGCTCTGCCCCTCTCCGTCGCTCGCCCTCGTTCGCTCGCCATTCTCGGAACCAGTCCAGTGGCCCCAGCGCACGCTGCTGACGTGGATCTGTCCCCTGCTGAGCTGGAGGCGGCAGTGCGGCGAGCAGTGGCGAAGGTGGTAACCAGAGCTAAGGCGCCTGGCGCGCTGAGGATCGTGTTTCACGACGCCGGCACGTACGACCTGGCGACCAACACAGGTGAGACGCTCTAGCCTGTGACGAACGAGCCACGACGTACGGTCCATGACCCATGACGAACGACCTGGCGACCAACACAGGTGAGACGACATGAAACGCTTCAACCTCGGTATGATCAAAGGTGGCATGACATGACACGCACTCACTAGCCTAGCCTCGATGTTATCACATGTACCCAACGAGCCCCTGGTGCACCATGCACCTATGACGTACGACCTGGCAACCAAATTGGGTGACATGACATGACACGATAGCCTTGGTACAACCACTTCAGAACATATCAGCCTTGAGTCAACTCCTATGGTCCTGGTTTTCGGCCTAGTCTGCTACCGACTGGGTGTTTGTATGGTGGGTAGGTATCACACCCATAACCCCCCAGGACGCACCTGTAGCCCTCCCACACACTGGGAACGACCCAACAGATAGGTGTTGACTCAAGGCTGCACCAACAGTGGTCACATGCAACATGCAAGTGGGGCTTTCTGTTTCCATGTCAGCGCCGACGACAACAGTTCCAAGTTTAGATGAGACTGCAAATCACCTGTGAATCTGTGATTGTACTCTCAAGCCTTGGGGGCACGCGCGATGTAATCTACAGCTTAAAGTAGCATGCGCGATCCAGGAATTGTCTCTGAAGTTGGCATATGTCCAGTCCAGGCAGGCAGGGCCATGAATGCTTGATTTCCTCAGCTCGTCTGGGTGGTGCCCGTGTGCGTGTCTCCGTATCTCTGCGTCGGCTTGGGTTGGTGTTTGGGTCTGCACCTGTGTCTGCACCTGTGTTTGCACCTGTGTCCGCACTTGTGCCTGTGCCTGTGTGGGCGTGTGATATGACGGGGGGCGGTCTGTTTTGGCAGGAGGAATGAACGGCTCAGTGCGCTTTGAGTTGAAGCGGCCAGAAAACGACGGGCTCAAGCGTACCATCAAGGTAACCTCCTCCCTCCTTCCTCTGACTCTTCCTCACATCATCTCGCAACATCCTCCCTCTCAAACGCATCCCACGTCGCATTCATCACCAACATGCATTTGTGGTTTGAATTGACCTAAAAGAACTCCTTCCTCTGACTCCTACTCACATTATCTCGCAACATCCCTCTCAAATGCATCCCAAGTCTCTTTCATCACCAACATGCATTTCCATCTCCTGCTGCTCTCGTTGTCTCTCAACGTATTTTTCCCCTTCACGGTTCTTGATTCTTTGTCCCCTCGTCGCTCATCTTTCCCCGTCATGTCAACAGCTATCCTTCCAAGCACTTTCCTCCCCACCAGGTGCTAAGAAGATTCGCCCGGGCCGGCACTGCTCAAGTTCCATCGCCCTCTTGACTCCTCTCACAGCCCATCAGTGAAACTCATACTCTCTTCCATCCATCCCTCCCTCCCTGCCCCCCGCCAGGTGCTTGAGAAGGCTCGCCTGGAGCTCGGGCCCCTGGCAAATGGTAAGCCGGGCGGGCCCCTGGCAAATGGTAAGCCGGGCGGAAAACAAAGCAAGGGATGGTGACAAATGCATTGCTTTGGGGTAGTGGCAAGGTAGCACACGGCACACGGCACACGGCACACAGCACACAGCACACGGCACACGGCACACGGCACATGCCTGTGATATTACTTGCTGTGCGCATGAGCCGTGCCTTGGTTAGTACGTGGCACATTCGGTGACAGTGGACGCGGAGGGGGCATGTGCCGTGCAGACGTGTGACTGTGGTTTCTTAGGCACCTCAACGCCCTGTCGTCTCATGTGCTGCGTGCCTCAACGCCCTGTCGTCTCATGTGCTGCGTGCCTCAACGCCCTGTCGTCTCATGTGCTGCGTGCCTCAACGCCCTGTCGTCTCATGTGCTGCGTGCCTCAACGCCCTGTCGTCTCATGTGCTGCGTGCCTCAACGCCCTGTCGTCTCATGTGCTGCGTGCCTCAACGCCCTGTCGTGTCGTCTCATGTGCTGCGTGCCTGAAATCGTGACATCACTGCCTCCCCCCTTTCCGCTGCCCCCTCGTCTCCCCTCCACCGCCCCCTCGTCTCCCCTCCACCGCCCCCTCGTCTCCCCTCCACCGCCCCCTCGTCTCCCCTCCACCGCCCCCTCGTCTCCCCTCCACCGCCCCCTCGTCTCCCCTCCACCGCCCCCTCGTCTCCCCTCCACCGCCCCCTCTCTCCAGTGGTGTCCTGGGCGGACCTCATGGCAGTGGCGGGGGCATACGCAGTGGAGTCGTGTGGGGGGCCGCACATCCCTGTGCGCATGGGCAGGCGCGATGCCAGGTGAGAGGGGTGCTTTCGTAGGTACCTCAAGGCAGGAGCAGATATCATTTAGGACGAAATGCCTCTATTAGAGCCAGCAGCAGGGGCTTGTGTGTCTCTCTCTTGGCGCAGAGCCTTCATGCTCTGCCATGCACGGAGGGAGCCAGCAGGGGCTTGTGTGCTGCCATGCCATGCACCTCTGAGTTGTTTTTCGCATGGCAGCAGGAACATGAAGGCTTGTGAACATGAAGGCTCTGTGAACATGAAGGCTCTGTGAACATGAAGGCTCTGTGAACATGAAGGCTTGTGAACATGAAGGCTCTGTGAACATGAAGGCTCTGTGAACATGAAGGCTCTGTGAACATGAAGGCTCTGTGAACATGAAGGCTCTGTGAACATGAAGGCTCTGTGCACATGAAGGCTCTGTGAACATGAAGGCTCTGTGCACATGAAGGCTCTGTGAACATGAAGGCTCTGTGAACATGAAGGCTCTGTGAACATGAAGGCTCTGTGCACATGAAGGCTCTGTGCACATGAAGGCTCTGTGAACATGAAGGCTCTGTGAACATGAAGGCTTGTGAACATGAAGGCTCTGTGCACATGAAGGCTCTGTGAACATGAAGGCTCTGTGCACATGAAGGCTCTGTGCACATGAAGGCTCTGTGCACATGAAGGCTCTGTGCACATGAAGGCTCTGTGAACATGAAGGCTCTGTGCACATGAAGGCTCTGTGCACATGAAGGCTCTGTGCACATGAAGGCTCTGTGCACATGAAGGCTCTGTGAACATGAAGGCTCTGTGCACATGAAGGCTCTGTGAACATGAAGGCTTGTGAACATGAAGGCTCTGTGCACATGAAGGCTCTGTGAACATGAAGGCTCTGTGCACATGAAGGCTCTGTGCACATGAAGGCTCTGTGCACATGAAGGCTCTGTGCACATGAAGGCTCTGTGAACATGAAGGCTCTGTGCACATGAAGGCTCTGTGCACATGAAGGCTCTGTGCACATGAAGGCTCTGTGCACATGAAGGCTCTGTGAACATGAAGGCTCTGTGCGTGCACGCACCCTGTGTTAGAGGGTACCTCATAAGAGACTCAAAATTGCAGGTAGGTTGGCGAGTTAAACGTTGGACTAGGAAAAGCGTTGGGTGCATCTGAGCAAGGAGGCTGGAAAAACCCAATCGAACTCAGGGTGTGCTCTGTTCGGTTTAGAGCAAGATCTATGATATGGACCTAAGCGGAACCGTAGGGTGTGGCGGAGTATTAATGACATCATGATCAATATCAGAGCAGACTCTAGCCTACTCCAACACCCTGCCATGCCATGCCCCTCTCTCACAGATTCTATAAAGCATGGTTTCGTCCCCATCAATCCCACAGCCCCACCCTATCCCTGAGTAGGGTGGGGTTGTGGGCAGATTCTATTAACCATGGTTCCCACCACAACCACAACTCACTGGCCCCAACCCTGAGAACTACATGGCAGTATCATAGACTCTGCCCCTTGAATTTCACGCACCTGCAAGGCCCGGTTGCCTTCTTCCCTGCTCGTCCACTCACTGTCCCATCACCGTTCACTCCCCCCTCCCCTCCCCTCCCCCTCACTCCTCTCCCCTCCCCTCCCCTCCCCTCCCCCCCCACTCCTCTCCCCTCCCCTCCCCTCCCCTCCCCCCCATTCCCTCCCCTCCCCTTCCCCCCCTTCCCCTCCCCTCCCCCCCTTTTCCCTCCCCCTCTCCCCCCTTCCCCTTCCCCCCCCCCCCCCCCCCCCTCACCAGTGGTCCTGACCTGGAGAATCGCATGCCAGCAGAGACGCTGAACGCCAAAGAGGGCGATTTTCTGCCCTCTCTGTCTCTCACTCCCTCTCCCTCACTTGCCCTTTCCCTCTCTTCTGCTCCCGCTCCCTCCCCACTCCATTCTCCCCCCCCCCAGTGGCCCCGACCCAAAGAACCGCATGCCAGCAGAGACACTGAACGCCAAAGAGGGTGGGTCGCTGGCCTCTGTCACTCCCTGATGCCCTCTTTCTCTCGCTTGCACCCTTCCATCCCCTTCTTACTTCTTATCCCCCCTCCCTCCCCCCCCCCAACCAGTGGCCCCGACCCTGAGAACTGCATGCCAGCAGAGACACTGAATGCTAGGTAGGATGCTTTGCTGGCCTCTCTGTCTCTCACTCCCTCTCTCTCACTTGCAAGTTGCACCTCCTCTCCATTCTGTTCCCGCTCCCTCTCCACTCCATTCTCCCCCCCACCAGTGGACCCGACCCTGAGAACCGCATGCCAGCAGAGACGCTGAACGCCAAGGAAGTGGTAGCGAGCTTCAAGTCGAAGGGCTTCAGGTGGGTTCTGAGGGCTTCAGGTGGGCTGTGAGGGCTTCAAGCGGGTTGTGAGGGCTTCAGGTGGGTTGTGAGGGCTTCAGGTGGGTTGTGAGGGCTTCAGGTGGGTTGTGAGGGCTTCAGGTGGGTTTTGCGAGCTTCAGGTGGGTTGTGAGGTCGTCAGGTGGGTTGTGCGGGCTTCAGGTGGGTTGTGAGGTCGTCAGGTGGGTTGTGCGGGCTTCAGGTGGGTTGTGAGGTCGTCAGGTGGGTTGTGCGGTCTTCAGGTGGGTTGTGAGGGCTTTCTGAGGTCTTCAGGGGCTTCAGGTGTGTGAATTATAGATTCAGATTGAATAAGTCTCAGTTGCACTGAACGCCAAGGAAAACATTTGCAATGCAAAGCTCGTCAGGGGCGGCTTTAGGTGCGCGGCTTCAGGTGCGGCTTCAGGTGCGGCTTCAGGTGCGGCTTCAGATGCAGCTTCAGGTGCGGCTATATTTTATTCCTACCTCCTCACTCCTCCCACTTCACTCTTTCCTCCCTTCCCCCCTTCCCTTCCCAAGACCTCTCCACCCCCGTACAGCTTACAAGAGACAGTGCCTACTGGGAGTGCACACACTGGGAGGGAAGGACTTTATACTGTCAAAGCTACTTTCTGTCGACCAAAATGCCCTCTCTCTGCCCCCTTCTTCCCCCCCCCAGTCTACAAGAGACGGTGTGTCTACTGGGAGCGCACACACTGGGAGGGAAGGGCTTTGGCGATGCCACCAGCTTTGACAACGCCTACTACTCCATTCTGCTTACCAAGCCGTGGCTCGACACGAGTGAGTGCATGAAGCTGTGCCTGCCTGCCCTGCTCTCTCTTCGCACAGTCTGTGTGGTAAGGGCTTCGGTGACCCTACCAGCTTTGACAATGCCTACTACTCCATTCTGCTGACCAAGCCATGGCTCGACACGAGTGAGTGGATGCGAGGCTGCCTGCTTGCCTTGCTCTCTCTTTGCACACTCTGTGTGGAAAGGGTTTCAGTGACCCTACTAGCTTTGACAATGCATACTACTCAATTCTCCTCACCAAGCCATGGCTCAACACGAGTGAGTGGATTCTGCCTGCTTGCCCCATTCTCCTTACCAAGCCATGACTTCACACGAGTGAGTGTAGCTCGGCACAAGTGAGTCTCGGCACAAGTGAGTGAGGCTCGGCACGAGTGAGTAAGGCTCGACACGACAAGTCATACCATGCCCTGCCGCGCACCCGTCCTGCTTTGCATGCATGCACCCACTTGTGACAACCATGGCAAGGAACAGCGCCAGGGACATGACCCTGTCCGTCCATGTCATGCTCATGCTTCTCCATGCTGCAGCCATGCACCTACCTGTGAAATCTATGGCAGGGAACAGCATGGCGGACATGATCGGGTTGCCATCAGCCACGACCGAGCATGACTGTGTGCGTCCATGCTATGCAACCCACATGTGACTGGCATGGCAGGGAACAGCATGGCGGACATGATCGGGCTGCTTACACATGGCTGGAGGTGACCGTGTCTATGCATGTCATGCTCGTGCTTCCCCATGTTGCATGAATGCTACCCACATTTGACTGGCATGGCAGGGAACAGCATGGCGGACATGATCGGGTTGCCATCGGACAAGGCTATTGTGGCCGATGAAGATTGCCTCGTGTGAGTTCGCTTCTCGACTACCCTTCTCCACTACCCTTCACCATGACCCTTCACCACTACCCTTCTCCTCTTCCCTTCACCACTACCCTTCACCTCTTCCCTTCACCACTACCCTTCACCTCTTCCCTTCGCCACTACCCTTTGACTTCACTCAAATGCTGAGCTCCCTCACATTCTCCCGTCCTGTGATTTTTGAGGCGCATAAAAAATTATCCTGTGCAACCGTCCATGCCTCCCAACCATCCAACAAGAACGCCAACGGTCAGGATCTCTTCTTCCGAGACTTAGTGTCGGTCTACACCAAGATGCTCAATAGCGGGGTCATGTGGGATCTAAATAGCCCTCACTCCCAACTCCCCTGCCCACCCCAATCTCTCCCCATGGCCACACCAGGTGGATCAACAAGTACGCCAGCAATCAGGATCTCTTCTTCCGGGACTTTGTGCCGGCCTACACCAAGATGGTCAACAGTGGGGCCGTGTGGGCATGATTCTGGTGAACGACTGCAGGGGCGCTCTCACATATTTGCTCGTGGAGCTCAGTGGAACGGTTGGCGGTGTCAGGTCACAGTGGGTGCCTCCAGAGAAGGCATTTCAATCGTTTAACCCTGAAATTACAGGCCAGGAGGGCCCAGAAATTGGCTTAGAGCATCCTTTGAAATCAGGTGTCTATATTGACAACACCCTGTGACCTAGAATTAGAAGGGAAACAAGTTTCTCATGTCATTCTCAGGATTTTTGTATTTGCTCTAATTTTAGCAGTAGACAAAGCTGGAGTGCAAATGAGCAGACCGCCATACCCCGGATAGATGCCCAGTTTTTTATGCCTTTCTTTTGCTAGAGGCTTGTCATCAGCTCTTTCCTTACCGACATCTTAAAACACTATTTTTACATGTTTTCCGGACTAGAAGGTTTCATGCGGGCGGGAGATCAGTGCCGTCGTTGAGAGCGCAGCACACAACAGCCTTCTGGTGGCCCTGGTACACTCGCACACAGTTGCCACTCGCCAGCTCCCACAGCCGAGACGTGCCGTCCGATGATGCTGCAGAGGTGCAACGGGTACAGAAGGGGAGAGGGGCTGGGGGGGTGAGGGCGGAAGAGAGTGGGGGGGAGGGAAGAGCATCAAGTGCCCTGGTACACTCGCACACAGTTGCCACTCGCCAGCGCCCACAGACGAGACGTGCTGTCCGATGATGCTGCAGAGGTGAACTGTGGGGTTGGGGTGAGGGGAGTGGGAGAGGGAGGGATTGGGAGTGGGGGAGAGGGAGGGGCAGGCGTGAGGTCAAAGGAATGAGGTGTCTCTGCACCTGGTACACAGGTGCTGCTGCTGCTACAGCCGATGAAGGGAGGTGCTACTGCTACCTAGCTCCCTGAGGCAAGGCGCGATGTACAGTATGCTGGACGATTCTCACAAGGAATCGTCAGGCATTGCATTGTCAAACACACAGTGGGCGCCAAAGAGAGCAACGGAGCAACCAGTCCTGCACCATCATGCACCCCTCCACATGCACCCCTCCACATGCAGTGCTCGCGTGGAAAACATGCGTGTAAGAAGCACATACATACCTGAGACGAGGTAGGCCCCATCGATGGAGAACACACAGTCCCACACCCATCTTGCATGGCCTGAGAACGGCGTGGAAACACACGGGTTGATTGGTGGTTGGGGGTGATGAGAAGGTGGTGGGCTTATGAGAATGCCCCAGTTGGAGGGATGCTGGAAGGAAAACAAAAAAGGGGGAAGCGGATTAGAGAGCAAGAAGAACTCCTTGCCACCGAAAAATGGCAGGCGTAATTTTTTTATCCCAGGTTTTCACAGAGGTTGACCGATTCACGTTTACCTGTGAGTGTTCTCTCCAGGGTAAAGCCATCTGCATTCCATATCTTTACTGTGCCATCCGCTGATGCTGTAGCGAGGTATCTGATAGAGAGGACGGACGAATTATAAGGGAAAACAGGGAGCAGGGTGAGATGCGATGGTGAAAAGGGGTGGAATGGCGAAAAGAGGGTTTACTGGGGTCCAGGGTTGAGAAGGAGGTAACAGGGGGGTAATGAGGTATAACGAGACGAGAGGTATGGGGGGCTGGCAACCAGGGAATTCAGAAAAATGAAATAGAAATGAATGATGAGGGATGAAGGGGGATGTGCAAAGAAAATGGAAGGAGAGGACAAAATGGACAAGTACAGCAAAGCTAACTCGTATATCGGGCAATGTGAAATCAGCACAATGATAAGTACAGGCAACAAATGTGAGGAGTGAGGTCCATGGCTAATAAGAGCGTGCTGAGTGGCATAGAAAACAGCAGTGACTACTAGTGCAACTCTAAACCATCTTGCAGGCATCTCCAAACCACATGCCTTGTGTCGTGCCCTCCGTTGCAAAGGGTATCGGAACTCCAGCGAGAGGACGCACTTGAGCAGATGGCTGTTGTGTTTTGTCAGAACTACAAAAACAAACAGCAACAAGAAACACGCCTGCAACAATGGCAGGCAGGCGCGCAGGCAGCTGACCCGTTGGGGTCGGAGAACTCCGGCGAGAGCAGGCACGCACTTACCTGCTGTGATCTTTGAAACTTCTAGAGACCATGCCTGAATCAATGGCAGACAGGCAGCAGGCCTGATCATACCTGTTGGGGTCGGAGAACTCGGGCGAGAGCAGGCACTTGAGCACGTAGCTGTTGTGCGCCTGCAGCTTGTGCAGCGGCTCAAAGCTCGCTGCCGTCTGCCCACGGCGCGTGGGCGGAGGAGGGTGAGTGGTTGTAACAGGAAAGAGGACAATGCAAAAGGTAAGGGGGAGAATGCATAAGGAGGGGCGGAGAATAAGGTAGGGAGGAGAATGCAACAGGTAAGGAGGAGAATGGAAACAGGGCTACGTGAGAAGGGGGTAGGGGGGAAGGGGTGCAAAAGGAGGGGGAAAGAATGCACAAACAGGGCTACGTGGGGCGAGGAGGGAGAGAGCAGGCACTCTTGCACAAACACCTGCACGCACACACTTTCACAGACACAGACACACACACACCTGCACACACACCTGCACGCACGCACATGCACACGTGTGCACCGGCACCCGCACACCCACGCCCATGCCCCGCTCAGCCTTCAACCCCCCCCCCCCCTCCCCCTCCCCGCCCTAAACCCTAAACCCTGCACACACACACACACACACACACACACCCACACACCCACACACCCACACCCACACACACACATACACACACACACACCCACACACACGCACACACACACACGCACACACACACCCACACACACACACACTCACACCCCCACACCCACACACCCACACACACCCACACACCCACACACACACACACACACACATACCTGCGAGCCCGAGGTGAGGCGCCAGACAAAGCAGGTGCCCTTGTTGTTGGCTGCGACGACCATGCTGCCATCCCACATCACTGCCACGGACCTTATTGCCGTGTCCACCTCTGGTACCTGCCGGGTGAATTGATGGTTGCGAGGAGAAGAGGGGAAGAGGTCATACGAGCGGCACATGGAGACGGAACGGACAGGACAGTGGTGATAGGAGGATGCTGTGTGGTGGTCCTATCCTATGAGACAGGGAACGGACTGTGCTGGCACCTGACGCACCACTGATTGATTGAGTGCACAGCGAAGAATGTGGAAGCGAGAACAGCGTGTGGCACAGCACACTGACATTCAAGCGCGTTGACTCACCAGTTCACAGCTGCAGGCGTTGGCAGCGAGGTCCCACACGCAGATATTGCCATTCTGGTCTCCTGAGAATCAGCTCCGTCCGGTTGGGGTGCAGCACCACGGTGGTCACTGCCGCACTCACAGTGAGGCCTGTCATCCATGTGCTCTCGCCAGTTCAGCATGACTCCTGTTGAATTGCCTCGCACTAACTCTCTTTGAATCACGTTGCCGTGATTGAGTGACGTTGACTCACGTTGATTCCCTGTCACTCACCGGTTCACAGCTACAGGCGCTGGCAGTGAGGTCCCACATGCGAATGTTGCCGCTCTGGTCGCCCAAAATGAGCTCCGTTTGATGCCCTCCCTGTGCTGTGTGTGTGGCGCATGGCACATGGCAGAGCACGCCACACTGACTCATGTTGACTTAATGTCTGTCACCCACCAGTTCACAGCTACACGCGTTGGCAGTGAGGTCCCACACGCGGATGTTGCCGTTCTGGTCGCCCGAGATGAGCTCCGTCTGGTTGGGATGCAGCACCACCGTGTTCACCGCCGCGCGGCTCTCGTAGTCCCTCTGATATAAGGGAGGGGCTCTGGAAGTGAAGGGAATGCAGAAGAGAGAGGGGGGAGGGGGGAAAGGAGGGAAGAACGAGTACCACTATTATGGGTATGAGGTCCGTCTGGTTGGGATGCAGCACCACCGTGTTCACTGCCGCCCGGCTCTCGTAGTCCCTCTGGTACAACAGCGGGGCTCTGAGATCCGAGGGGGGGAAAGGGGAATGGAGGGTATGAATGAGGTTCACGCTCCATCTGGTTTGGTTGCAGTGGAGCACCGTGCTCGCTGCCTGGCCAGCTCTTATTGCTCCTCTGGTACAGCGGGCCCCAAGATCCGAAGGGTATGAGGAACGAAAGGGAGACGGGAGGGTATGTATGAGGTCCACAGTCTGTCTGGGTGGAGAGTGCATTGCAGCCTATGATGGATTATACGCGTTCAGCGTATAAACGCGTATCGTATATACGCTAACGTGTATACGCGATACACTTAAGGGTAAGATTGGGCATACGCTTTTCCGGGCAGGGGAAAAAGTTTTCTGGGCAGGGTGAAAAATACGTCGTGCTCAACATCCGGGAAGGTAGTACTCTCTACCCTATTCTCACTAAGACTTCCCTAGCTTTTTCCTGAGTCTGAATGGTGGGTGGGGTGGGATGTGGAGTAGATCGCTAGAAGGAGAGGTAGGTATCGGAAGGAACTCTGCTGGGAAGCGGGAATATAAACTAGAGATGAGGAGTGCCGTTGGGCTGGCTGGCTGGTAAGTAGCGTGAGTGTGAGGTAGTTAGGGGTATTTTTTGACAGGTTGGAGTTTGTAGATAGGATGGGTTTCAATGCGGTGCGGTACAAATCGAAAGTTCAAATTGGAACTACCAGAAAACTTCAAAGGCACATTCCCGCTTCCCTAGGCCGCCGAATTGCATTTCGACTTCGGCGAAATGGTCACCAGGAGAATCCGCATTTTTCCGTATACTCACGATTTTTTTCCCGGGCAGCCCCAAAAACATTCTGAGTGCGTATAGCGTATTAGCTAGCGTATAGCGTTTTGGGTATATACGCAAGCGTATAAACGCTGTACGCTTTAGGGTCTGAGCGTATAGTCCAACATTGATTGCAGCTACGTGCTCGCTGCTCGGCTCTCGTAGTCCCGCACAATGGTCGGGTCGGGGGGGAAGGAGGAGAAGGGAAGGTATGTGGTCTGTGACTCTGTGGGCTCTCATGGGATTCTGAAATCCGACGGAGAGAAAGCAGCAGGGAGGGGACGAGGTCCATGCTCCACTAGTTGGGGTTCTGCACTGCACCACTCTTTGCTGCTCGCGTTTCATAGCCTCTGGCGCAGCAGTGGGGCTCTGAAACTAAACGAGGGGGAGGAAGCCAGAAGTTGGCATGGAATGAATAATGGATTGCTGGAGTGATAACATGAACCGTATCTGACTACACTGCATCTACCTCAGGTCAGATCCTTTCAAATGACTGACTGCGCTGCACCCACCTTAGCTGAGGTTCCAGATCCTGACGGTGCCGTCCTCTGAGCCGGAGTACATCCATCTGCTGTCGCACTGACACCCATGACAAAGCCTCATGCTGTGTGTAGAGCCGTAACATGGTACATCATGCCCGAGCTAACTGCCCCACATGTGCACCCACCGGAGGTCCCAGATCTTGACGGTGCCGTCCTCGGAGCCCGAGTACATCCAGCGGCCGTCGCACTGAAAGCCCACTGCTGTCACGTTGTTGGTGTGCCCGTCGTAGCTCATCACCTGGTGGGGGGGGGGAGGGGCGGAGGCGAGGGGGGCAAGAGGGGTGGTGTGGAGGGAGAAAGGAGAGGTTGTGGCAGAGGGGTTGGGGTAATGCGCACTGAAATCCCACTGCTGCCTCGTCGGTGTGGCCGCTGTAGCTCATCAACTGGAGGGGGGCAAGGCGAGGGGGGCAAGAGGAGTAGTGCGAAGGGGTTGGGGTAATGCGCACGGAAAGCCCATGGCCATCACCTGGTGCGGGGCGGGGGGGGGGGGAAGAAGACGGGACGACTGGTGGCATGGGGGGGTGGAGGAAGAGTTATGGCAGAGGGAAAGGCGTAGGGGATGAGGCACTCAGCACTGAAAGCCCACGGCTGTCACGTTGTTGGTGTGCCCGTCGTAGCTCATCACCTGTGAGAGGTGGGGGGTGAGAGAGAGAGGGGAGGAAAGGGTTGTGGCAGAGGGAATGGGGGATGGATTGAGGTAATACGCACTGAAAGCTCACCGCAGTTACATTTTTGGTGTGCCCGTCGTAACTCATCACCTGGTGCGGGGTGAGCGAGAGAGGACAGGTGGGAGGCATCAACATACATGGTGCTGTGCTGAGTGCAATCTGCTGTACATTCATCCATGCATGGTTGATGCTGCATACGATTCCTTGCAACAAAGCAGCCCATGACAACGCATACCAGCTGTGGCTGGCTGGCTAGTGGGAGTTGGCAGCAGCAGCAGCAGCTATTGCAACGGTGTCGCAACACCGTGCAGCGCATGGTATGGCATGTGGCATGGCATGGCATGGCGTGGCATGGCATGGCATGGCATGGCACGGTGCTGATACATACCGGCTGTGGCTGGTTAGAGTCGATTTGGAAGAGGCGGATGTGCGGGTTGCCTGCAGCCGCCAGGAACCTCTTATCCGGCATGATCTCCATGCGGTTCACCTGCTGTGCTGGTGCAGGGGGGGGGGGGGGGCGGGGGGGAGAGGGGTGGAGGGAGGAGAGTAGGGGATGGGGCGGTGCAGGTGCGGGGTGAATGTGGAAGGTGATGGTTATCGAACCTCTTGTCCGGCATGATCTCCATGCGGTTCACCTGCTGTGCTGGTGCAATCGGTGCAGATGGGTGATGAGCGGAGATAGGGGGATGCAGATGGGCAAGGGGCGACGGTCGAACCTCTAGTCCGGCATGATCTCCATGCGGTTCACCTGCTGCCCTGGTGCAATGGGGGGGGGGGGGAGATGTGGGGACGAACGGGGGGTAAATGTGGGAGGGCGGGGAGGGGGGGAATGGGTGCGTGCGGGGAGCCGTTATCGGAACCTCTTGTCTGGCATGACCTCCATGCGATTCACCTGCTGCTCTGGTGCACCCGGGGGAAGGAGACGTGCGGAGGACAACGGGGGGGTGAATGTGGGAGGCCGGGGAAGGGGAGGGGCGGGTGCGGGGGGGGGGATGGTTCTTGGCTACGCTGCCAAATACGCTCTGGGTAGGGTGGCGTACCACATATATACGATTGCGTATGTACGTGGTACGCTAATACGCTTCGAATTCGTGAAAAAACGCGCGGGCAGCCCGGCGAAAAAAAAAAAATCGAAATTGAAAAAAATTTGCGACGGTTATTAGGGCTTCGCGACTGGTTACGCGACCAAGCACATCGCCCAACCCACGTCTGAAATTCAAATTTCAGAATCCAAACCTCCCACCACCCCAACCACACACCACCCCACCAAACCTCTTATATCCAACCACCCCTCTCAAATGTCCAGCACGTCATGTGAGTATTTACTCGTTGACGCCTTCCTATCCTTCATTCGTTTCTCTCCTCAATTTCATTCCCGAGCTCTGATCTCCCGTTTTCCTCAAGCAGTTTACCGTTCCTTAGTCGCGCCCCATGGCGTCGAACTCCACTCCTCCTAGCGCGACGAGCAATGTAGCTTCTGGTCACGCGTCTAGTAGTGCGATCAACACGCAGCCTGTTGAGGCTGGCCTTTTGAACCCCATTCTGAAACATTTTCTTATTCCCCCCTACACCAAAGGCAATCCCAAGCTTTGTAAGTTTTGTGGCTTCAAGTTTGAGGGCGGAACCACTCGCTGCGCAGTTCACCTCGCCAAATGGAAAGGGCAAGATGGACGCCCTGTCAGGCTTTGCAAGGACGTGTCCCCGAAAGTCCGTGAAGAAGTGTGTGCCATGTACGAAAACAAGGAGGAAAACAAGAGCATGAAACGAGGGGCACTTGCTGCAGCACTCGACTCCGTGCTGGGCGCGGTCACTGCTTGTGCGGAGAAGAAGGGGAAGATAACAGAATTCTTCGGCAACGAGGCAACGTGCGCCAAGGAGGACGCGGATAACGCGCTTTGCCTAATGATCTCGGCGCTGAAGCTTCCAGAGCGCATCGTGGATGATCCGGTCTTCCGCTACGCGGTCCAGTGCTTCGCGCGCGCGGGACTGGGGTATGTTCCCCCCAAGAGGGGCTACGTTGGAGGGGCGGGCTTGAAGAAAGTGCGGTAGAAAATGGAGGCAGCGCTCGCCCCCGTTGCCGCGAGCTGGAAGCGGGACGGTGTCACCGTGTCGTCGGACATGATGACTGACCGTTGTGGCCGCCCGCAGGCCAACATACTCCTTGTCAACGACTCCGGCGCAGTTTTCGAGCAGGCCGTGGACTGCAACATGGAGTCGAAGACGGGGGGGTACATCGCCAGCCTTCTCCGCCCCGTCATTGATAAGGTGGGGCCGGAGAATGTGGTGGCGGTCTGCATCGATGGCGGCAGCAACTATGCATCGGCAGCGCGGAAGATTGCGAGCACATGGCCGCACATTGAGCATGTGCCATGTGCCACGCATGTCCTGGACCTGTTAATGGAAGATGTGGGCAAAATGGGATGGGCGAAGGGGCTTGTGGAGAAAGGAGGGGAGATGATTACCTTCGTGCGCAACCACCACTTCACACGTGCCTGTATGAAGAAAGTGGGGGGGAAGCAGGTGCTCAAGCCTGCGGGAACCAGGTTCGGGACACAATACATAGCCATGGCCCGGCTATGTGAGGTGAGGAGTGGGCTGGCGGCGATGGTGCTCAGCAACGAGTGGAAGGTGTGGGCAGCGGGGGACAAGGATAGGAAGACTGCAGCCGAGAAATTCAGGGCTGCTGTGATGGATGAGGAGTGGTGGGGGGTGGCGGAGTTCTTTTCCTCTCTCATGGCGGTGCCATTCAAGGCCATGCGGGCCACGGACTCTTCCGCGAAAGGCATGATGGGTAAGCTGTATGACATTATGCTACATCTTACCGAGGACATCAATGACAAGCTCGACGCTTCAGGCGACTTCTTGACTCGGACAGAGAGGGCAGACATCACCAAGATTGTGAAGGACAGGTGGGACAACTCCCTTGCCTGCCCCATGCATGTGGTTGGCCGGATCTTGAATCCGACCAACCAGGAGGAGGGAATTTTCAGGAACGATGTGGAGTGCACGAGGGTGTTCAAGGACTACATCGAGCGCCACTATGACCACGTCACCTTCAGGCGCGGCAAGGATGGTGCCCCTCGCCGCGCCTCCCTTGTGCTGCAGGAGGCATTGCTGGCCTACATCAACTTGGAGGGCAGTTTTGGCAAGCTGAGCGCCATAGCTGCAAGGGAGGCAGTGAAGAAAGGGGAGATGAGCATGCTGCAGTGGTGGTTGTGGCACAGCACCGAGTACCCTGAGCTTGCCACCCTTGCATGCCGGATTCTCACTCAGCCCGTCTCGGCTTCTTCATGCGAACGTGGCTGGGCGCAGTGGGAAGGCGTCCACACCGCCCGCCGCAACCGCCTCGGGTCCGCCAAGTGTGCGGACCTGGTTTACATTGCGCACAACTGGAACGTTGTGCGCAATTGGTACAACAAGGACGGGGCCAGCACGGTTGTGCCCGGGAACATCCCGGATGCCCCTATCCCCCGCGGCTACAACATGGACGAGGAGGAGGAGGATGACCTGCTGGGGGGGGAAGGAGATGATGCAGTGCTGGCGGATGAGTATGGGGAAGGGGTGGTGGTGGAAAAGCCCCGCAAGGAAATAGGCTGTGGGGAAGCTCGCTAGAGGGTGGGGATTATGTGGATGAACTACGTATTTCTGGATATTTATGAAATAAAATATTGACATGCGTTGTTGTCGGCCTGAACCCCCCCTGAAACAGGTTTTTTTATACCTGCCCGGGAAAAAAAGTTTTAGCTGCCCGCCAGCGTATTTTTGCGTATCAGCAGTACGCCAGCCTTGGCGTACCGCGTATATACCAAGCGTGTAATACACTAACGTATTATACTCGGTACTCGTATTTAGCAACGTAGGTTCTTGGAACCTGTTGTCTGACATGTGCTGCTCTGGAGCCATGGGTGGGGGAGGGACAGGAGCGAGATTGAATGTGTGGGGGAGGGAGAGGAACGGGAGTGAGTGTGTGGGGGAGGGACAGGAGCGAGATTGAATGTGTGGGGGAGGGACAGGAGCGAGATTGAATGTGTGGGGGAGGGACAGGAGCCAGATTGAATGTGTGGGGGAGGGACAGGAGCGAGATTGAATGTATGGGGGAGGGACAGGAGCGAGACTGAATGTGTGGGGGAGGGACAGGAGCAAGATTGAATGTGTGGGGGAGGGACAGGAGAGAGATTGAATGTGTGGGGGAGGGACAGGAGCGAGAGTGAATGTGTGGGGGAGGGACAGGAGCGAGATTGAATGTGTGGGGGAGGGACAGGAGCGAGATTGAATGTGTGGGGGAAGGGACAGGAGCGAGAGTGAATGTGTGGGGGAGGGACAGGAGCGAGAGTGAATGTGTGGGGGAGGGACAGGAGCGAGATTGAATGTGTGGGGGAGGGACAGGAGCGAGATTGAATGTGTGGGGGAGGGACAGGAGCGAGATTGAATGTGTGGGGGAGGGACAGGAACGGGAGTGAGTGTGTGGGGGAGGGACAGGAGCGAGATTGAATGTGTGGGGGAGGGACAGGAGCGAGATTGAATGTGTGGGGGAGGGACAGGAGAGAGATTGAATGTGTGGGGGAGGGACAGGAGCGAGATTGAATGTGTGGGGGAGGGACAGGAGCGAGATTGAATGTGTGGGGGAGGGACAGGAGAGAGATTGAATGTGTGGGGGAGGGACAGGAGCGTGAGTGAATGTGTGGGGGAGGGACAGGAGCGAGATTGAATGTGTGGGGGAGGGACAGGAGCGAGATTGAATGTGTGGGGGAGGGACAGATGAGTGATGTGCAGGTGGCGGGGTGAAGGTGGGGGGGCCCTCATGCGGATCACTTGCTTCCCTGGTGCGCCATTAGGGTGGATATGGGGGGCTACAGGTGGGGAGATGCAGATGGAGGATTGCGGATGAGTATTAATGGGTGCTCGCTGCACATTGCTGGAAAACAGCAAGCTTCACCTTGAGGGTTAACGAAAACTGTGCTTCGATACCGTGCAGTTCGCATGTCCCTGGTACTAGCTTAACGTACTGATTCGGCGTACTGAATCGTGCGGTAACATTGACCGGACGTGGCTTCCCAGAATCGGATAGTGTGGTCGTAACCCGCCGTCGCGAGCACGACGGACAGCTGCGACATGGCGACGGCGTGCGAAAAGCCTACGACAACTTAAGCGACACGCTTGCGACGCGCCAACGAAATCAGGGGCCTTGAAAAACGGCGGGACAGGGTGAAGAAACCTAAGATACAAAGTGGATCAGGCACATGTCTAAATTAATTTTGTTAGCCTACGTATGTACCGATGCGCTTATTTATTAGCACCGATGCCTTCGTCGTGTTCAGGCTTCTAAAATAAGCCTTATTCGACGAGACTCCTATTAATTTCCTACTGTGTCTGATGCTGGGAGAACCGCGTCGAGCAAACACCTCAGAAGGTCAGCGATTTAGGACGCGGTAAAAGTGACCGTTCGGAGGATCGTGAGAGAATATCGATTTTCACAATCGCTTTGGGGAATTGATCGGTGAAACGATGCACACCCGGCGTTGTAACGATCGGGATGGTATACCTCAGCCGACGAAACCTGCCGCCCAATTTCGCGGTTGCGATAGGACAACGAACCCCCTCGGGATTGACGAGCTCCTGACGACTTGCGAGTGGCAAACTGGGGCGACCTGGCAGTCCTCTGAGGCTCTGAACCCCTCGGGATTGTCGACTATCTGACGACCTCGGGTTTCGCTGAGAGAAACCCGAGAAGGATACCTCAGCGGACCCTGAACCACAGCTCGACACGTTGTGCGCCGAGCCGCGGTTACTGCCACGTGGCTTAGTAGGGACGGCCGAGATCGAGCCTGACAATCGGGAGGTGCCACGACGGCGCCGACGTGGCCCCGCTTCGCACCACCGGGT